AAATTATTGAGTGGAGGCAGGACCACAGTAGGTCTGTCAAACTCACCCAGGGATGACCCGAAGTTAAGATACGACGGAGACGGTTAGCGTAATTAGTATGTTAAAGATATGGGTGTGTATATCGGTGTTCGTGCGAATTGGAGTATGTGTGTGGAGCTAGTTGTGGGCTTGGATATGTCCGTGTGTATTTTGAGGGTGTTGGTGGAGCTATCAGTTATATATGAGAATGATCTTTTGGTGGTACACGTGTGTTAGTGGGGTTATATGTGTGTGTGATAATGATCCGGGTATCGGTGTGAATATGATGACGTGGTATTTCTGTTATTCAGTCAAAACTTCGAGCATGCTCGCACTAGCAAGTTCACTTGCTCACGCTCTCAGTTATATAGAAAGGTGCAGGCATTTTCGGGATTCGAAAAATCGAGTGGCTTAAATAAACCATATGGTTAAGTCTAGATAGTAAATATCAAAGCAATCAGTTATCAAAATGAAATATATATAGCATTCGATGTAGTCTTTAATGCTCTGGCTGGATCTAAAATCAAAGAAATCAGAAGACAGTTTTCTTGCTTGTTGTTAGCCAAAGATAATGGTGCGAACGCGATTATTTTAGTTTCATATGATCGGGTGTATGTGTATGCATTCTCTACGGTCTGAATAGATTTTGAAGAACCTGTCTTATATACAGTTCGATAGAACTAATAACTCTGTATCTTGCGAAATATTACAATAACATTTAACTGCACTTGAGGAGAAAAAACTAGCCAGATATCGATTAAATGGAATGCTTGACAATTTTGTATAAACGATCGTGACAGAGTATCAGTATTATTTCAGATGGCTTCGCAAGGCTAACTGAGAATAAGCTTGCAGTTTGGAGTTGTGTGTGTTCAAGCATGCTCTTTCATTTATGTGACAATAAAGTCATAGTGTTAAAGATTTGTCGAATGTTGCTGTTCATCAGACTAGATGGTCTACTCATGAACCCTCTCTTAAAAATTCATCGAAATCAGACAAATGCTCGAGATAAGGACAGTTGTATTTTGAATTAATTCAAACAGATTATTTGCTCATCCAAAACTGACTAAAGTGACAGGAATCTAATCTATTTAAGAGCATAGTTTTGTTTATTGCTTTTCTATGTGAGAAAAAAACGATAGGAATGATAACATCAGATGAAACAAACGAAACTGAAATGATACCATCGTTAAGAAGTAGGAATGTCTCCATATAGAGTGAGTTAGAGAGAAGGTCATAACAACAATGATGAACATTACTTTATGCGAACTCTATTTGCTCAAATGTTGCTACTATACATTATTCCGATGAATCAAAACGTGTTGTTTCATCAAGTATATCTATGCGGTCACAACTATCTTATGTCAAGATAGCTCTTCGCTCCTCATCATTGTACTGATTCATTTGTCAATAGGACCAAAAAGAAAACTGTATTTGCAAAATAAAATCATCACAATATATAATGAACAATTGAAAGTAAAATCATGAGATGTCTGTGTTATGCGTAATATAAAGATTATATAGAGTGTGTTTTTTGTCCTAATGCTGGTCAGAAGTTGAACATACTCGGCAATTGCTGGATGGATGAAAAATTCGAGATCATCAAGTTGTTTCTCTGGTACAAAATTAGCTTGATAGTAGTTGAAAATTAGCATCATTGCCAGAGATGAACTACCCAATGCAAAGCAGTCAGCATCACGATGAATAGAGTCGAGTTCAAATTTGATACACCACAAACGATGCACATGCTCTTCTAATTTAGACATTAGTCCTTCATCCACTTTGGCAAATCCACTTGGCACGTTATTTGGTAGGGATGGTAGTTGTTTTCTGTCTATTTTCCCATTTATATTTTGTGAGAACTTGTCGACTACAATAAAATGAGACGGAATCATGTACTAACGGAGCCGCTCTTTGCAATAGTCTCGAATTGATTCAATGTCAAGTTTTGAATTGTTCCAAACCATATATGCAACAATTAAATCTTCACCTTACGTAAATTTTAATTTACTTAACTTCGTACTGTTAGTTTTTATTAATTTTTGCTTTGATTATTTTTATAGGAGAGAAATACTTAAATCCGATAAAGTTTTATTCAGTGGATCATTTGCTTGAGGGTGTGGGTGTGGGTAATACTTTAACGACATTCGCACTCTCATTTACACCTATACTCTCAAGATATCATTTACTTAGAGAATACTTGAAATTTCAAGAAATTAATATATCAGAAATATTCGATTTGATGTGTTTTAGCGTTTCCCGAGAAATTCATTCTTGCCACATCTACATTTGAGAGATTGCATATCATGGGGATAATGGGCATAATGGGCATATTAGGTTTAATGGACATATTAGGCTTGATGGCCATATTAGGCTTAATGGGCATATTAGGCTTAGTGAGCATAATGGTCATAATGGGTATAATGGGCATAATGGATATAATGGATATAACGGGCATATTAGGTATAATGAGCATAATGAGCATAATGGGCATATTAGGCATAATGGGCATGATGGATATAATAGGTATAATGGGCGTAATGAGCATAATGGGGGTAATGGACATAATGGGTATAAAGGGCATATTAAGTATAATGGGCATATTAGGCATAATGAACATATCGGGCATAATGGGCATATTAGGTATAATGGGCATAATGGGCATATTAGGTATAATGGGCATAATGGGTATAATGGACATAATGGGAATAATGGATATAATGGGTATAATGTGTATATTAGGCATAATGGACATATAGGACATAATAGACACAACTAACCCTCGTCGGAGGACTCGCTTTGCTCTTACTCGTAGAAATGTATCTTCTTCACATTTACTACAAAACAATTATAAATTTTGCTCTCCCTTGTTGCTTCTTACTCGTGGCATTGGCTCGCATTCTACTCAGTGGTAAACGCAAATCAAAATATATTAGAGCTGTCGAAATCAGTAGCTTATCGAACTAGCCTTTAACGAATAAGTGAAGTTCTAGTAATCTTATATGCAGGAAAGTCAACAGTTTATGATCGCACATACTATGCACTACAAGCGAGGGAACATGTTGGATACCAATAAAAATGCATTACCCAAAAACTCGGTTTCTATCAATTCGCGTCACTTCTTTCAATTCACTGCTTCCCCTTCCCTTCAGCAGTCTCAGCAAATGAAGCGCACATTTGAAGTCTCCGCATCAAAATACCTCAAGAAATCTCTTTTCGACCATGTGGACATACAGTCAAGCAAGAAAGCAAACAATTTATTTCTGCTAGACTCTTCTCTACGAGAAGGAGAATGTATATTTTGACAGAGTGCAGGTGCACGATTATATATTTAGAAACGAAGAATAAGCGATTACTCTTTTTCTTATATTAAGTTTCAAGCCGCATTTAGGGCATATTTTTCTTCGTTCTGTCACATACTACGAGTAACGCTGCTTGTCCTATAGCTCTATATATAAAGCAGCTACATTTTACATAGATAGTTACAAATAGGTGCCCTACGTGTCTGAATACCTTGAAAGATACTGAATATCTTTTTTGTTATCTTATACATTCTCATTATATAAATCTGCATAATTCTTTTTCATAGATCTAGTATTATTGACGTTCCGTATCTCAAATTCTGCACAAACAACACTTCAACTGATTTAGTAAGCTGACGTATTGACTGAAATGAGCACTACACGTGATCAAGCTACTATGGAGCATCCATCGCTGTTGGATGATATTGTTCTACATGAAAATGATCTGACCGAAAAAGCCAAGAGCTGTTTCGGCTATCATAGTAAGATTTTGCACGCGTTTGAATTATATCGTCGAAGCATACTTTCTAATGAACATATGACAAGTACGGGTAAACATGGAGCTTTAGCTGGTGTTGGCAAAATGCATACAAATTGCAAACGAGTTCTCAATTATATGGCAGAGCACAATGAACTTCTTAATGGTACTTTACCACCGCTTGGCCCATTGATTATCTGTGGCCTTCCACGCACAGGGTCGACATTGCTCCAGAATCTGCTAGCCTGTGATCCTGATTGCCGCTCTCCACTATTCACGGATATGTGTGTCGAGATTGTTCCACCTATCTCACGATCAAATGCGGTTGAACAGAAGAGAAGAATGGCCGCATTGCAATCGTCGATGCAGCAGGATACATCATTTGTAACTCAAAGAAACCAAATTATTGCTTCTCATCCAGTTTTTCCAATTGAAGAAGATTACCATATTCTGCGGCAAGCAAGTTTTCTTCCCTTCTTCACGATGATAACATCTGATCCAGTATCTGATGATGATACTTGGCTTCTTGAAGAACTGAACAAAGATTTTGCATATGACTATCATGAGGTGTTCTTGCGCATGTTGAATTCTGTTGATGCGCCACGTTCTCATTGGGTATTGAAGGCACCCGTGCATTGTTTCAAACAAGACACAATCCTTCAACATTACCCGAACGCGGCAATAATCGTGACTCATCGGTGTCTCGATGAAGTTTTGCCTTCGTTATGTAGTACAGCATGGTCTCTTGGATCAATTTATCTCGACAAAAGAGACGCCGCCAGTCGAAATACAATAAAGAAACAAACTCTACAATTTATTGATAAAGCGGTTGAATGCATGGTAGAGTTTCGCACTCGTCTAGACCGTATGCATGATCAAAAGCGCAAAAACCTTTTTGACGTTGCCTACAATGATTTGATGGAGCAACCAATCGCCACTGTGCGTCGCATCTATGATTATTTTGGTCTTCGCTGGTCGGATGAATTCGAAGGAGCCATGCAGGCTTGGCTTAGCAACAACCCTCAAGGCAAGCAAGGCCGTCACAGTTATAGTCTGGTGGACTGCGAGCTCACACACGAAGACATTGAGACACGGTACGCTGATTATATCAATTTGTTTCAGTGCTCATCAGCTACCGATATTGCTAGTACTAACAGCAACCAGCTTTCTTCAAACAACGAATCATTTCAACAAGTCTAATTAACTTTTCTCATTATCGACTTTTTCTTACCAAATATTATTTAAACCACTTCTAGTAGTTAGCATTCTTGTTCTTATATATTTTTTACTATCAAAGCTTTGCTTGTAACGCGTAGAAGAGACCTAATCCTTTTATTTTACACAGCTAGACACTGGCATATGCCGATCGGAATTAGAAAACATTTTTATTATATTTTCTTTGCAATTAAAATAAAAGTTATGCAAATCTGATTTCTCTTGGCATCAATTGAATAAACAAAATAGTAGAGAATGGTGGTTGGAAATTCTTTAATGCCAGAACGACAAAGATATCAGAGAAATACCAATCCGAAGTTGGCTTTAGAGATTCCTTCGTCGCTACAGAACACTCGAATGACACTCGAGCATGAGAGCTTTATGACTAAAACAAGTTTTCTTTACAAACGTTTATTATTGTGTGATGTATATCTCGTATAATTACGTCGCTAACCCGATTGTATCTCAAATGTGACAAAAAGTTCCAACGAATAGGTTCTTACAAAAAATGAATGTTCTTAATAAGTATTTTTTTGACGAAAACTCCACTTACTACAAAAAAGGAGTCGTAATATATATATTATTGTGTTTAAAAGAATTGATTATTAGACTTAGTTCTTGGGAAAAAAATCAAATTATTGTGATAGATATGATAAAGAAACTGATTCTTGCTGGGAAGGGAAGCTCGATAGGTTTTTTAATCAAATGAAATAAGAGCTGATCAAAATACTATTTTTTTTAAAATGTGGCCAAAGAATATATTCCCCAGACTATAAGGATAGAGTCTAGAAACGGAAATTTACCGATGTCTTTATATCACTTTATCGGAAACATGACTAAAATGACCATATAGCTATGGTACAATTGATTGTATTCAACAGACTATAAGATTATTCTATGAATGGTAATTTACATGTGCCTATCTATCCATCATTAACATAGTTCAAAAACAGTCGCGCCTATTGCCTGAGTGAAAAATATTTCTAAATTGTTTAAAAACGTTTAATTGACAGATTAATGCTGTATAAACATAGAGGAGTGCGTAGATAATTAATCAAACGAAAATTCACCAGCTAATTTGCAGATATAATTATAGCTGATAAAATTTATATGTTACCAATAATATGATTTTTTCAAATAAAAATAACGCCCACACAGTTATATAAAATTCATTTTGTTGTTTAGTCCTATTGGCGCTATTTGTATTTTTTAAAAAGGCTTAAATATTTAAGAAAAATATCGAATTCATAATTAATCAATCGCTATACTGTATAATGTCAAAATAGAAATAATTGTTTTAATCGTTTATAATATGCGTATCGTAGTTTCACTTTTGTCCACTACCTTTTCTAATTAACATACATACGGGAAGGAGACTGTATCAGTATGTGTATTTGATCAGCGTAAGGCTGAGTGAATCGGTACGCGATGGACGTTAATTATTTATTTGGAAGTTAAATCTGACTTGATTCCTAATGGTTTTAAGGAGTATAATATGAGATATTATGTGACATAAACAGCTTCTTTTTCGAATAATATGAATTGACGCTTACTGTCAGAAGACTATCACCACTGCATAGTTTTGATTTTAATGATTTCACCATTCTCACCCAGCCTATTTCATATAAATTATGTAATTAGACTACAAAACAAATGAAAAAAAACTGCTGCAATTTTGCATTGCTGGTACCTTATATTGATATGTTTTTGAATAATTTTATCTTTTTTGAAATATATTTTGACTTCAGATCTCATGACACTACGTTTTTTAAGACTGCGTCGCAGTTATGCGTAGTGGCCATTTTGTGTCGCAATTATGCGTAAATATGACGCAGTGATTACAGATTTTATCAAAGGAAGAGGATACCATTACTGTAGCGCAACTGAATTCGCATCTGCGACGCAATAACCGTGACGCATCCCAACTATTCGACTATAAAAGCTCATATCTCAAGCATTCGAGCTCATGTCACCTTCTAACACTGAACAAGTCATTTGGGTTACTTTCTTCAAATCAGAAGGTAAGTTTCATGAAAATTCCGAGAAAAAACATAGATATGACTGACCTAAGTGAATTGTCGCCGTTAACAATGCTCGTCTCTTATTTTGCTTATATTCGGTCGGAGACTTTTGGTTAGTACTTCTGATCAACCAACTGTTGTTAGCACTTTTTCTGTAGTCAATGAGCTTTTCTGAATCCTATTTTTAACCAATCAGATATGGCATAAGTCTATTAACACAAATCGACTTTTTATATGCAAACGAAACTTTGATCATTTTAAACGTATACGTGTCGAGATTGTAACTTCATTCATATGTATCCATCTCATTCCATTTCTTCGTCGAAAGAACTCAGTCATAATAACTTAGTAACTGAAGATATATATTAAACAGCCAGTTATCCAGAGATCATCAGAAAGGATAAATAGCTGAAGATATATTTAAGTAGCTACAGATAGGATTGCAACAGTGACAATACACGATCTAATCGGTAAACGTTCCATCAGAAATCGCTGTGAAGCAGTAACTATTCTATACCTGTAACCGTCCTAGCAGTAATCGGTTCAGACCAGTTATTACTCCAACTGCAAACTGGTTAACGTTTGGGATCATATATTTAATGAGGTAGGTATCCAAATTTCTTCAAGTGTTATGTAAATTTTAGTGGGATCCTGGTGGAATCAATCACACAGAGCATATACTCACCTCAGCATGACTTATTGCATTTCTCTTTTTCTTTTCAATAGACGAATCATCATCGTTGTCACGTGCATTAATCACCGTCAACTATAACGATGTTGTTGTCCCTACTGGCTTTGATTCTTGTTGTCGTTTTTCTGGTCTACGCGTTTATTATCTTTATGCGGTATTTGCAATTGCGACGAGACTATCGGTCGATACCATCTCTGCCTATTTCGCGCATTCCATTCGTTGGCAATTTGCATCAACTTGACCGGCGCACAGATGTTTTCTATCAATTTCTTTGTAAAATGGCCAAAGAATGTCAAGAACAAGACAAGGGTCTCTTCTGTCTCTGGTATGCACACTGGCCGATACTCTTCTTATGCAAAGGACAAGGACTTGAAGTAAGAGTATTGGAAAATTTCGTGTTAACGTATTTTTTTTTGTAGACGTTCATAAATAGCCCTAAACAACTAGGAAAATCTTTTGGCTACACCTTTCTTCAACCCTGGTTGAAGGATGCTCTGCTTATCAGGTATGTAGTTAAACCCATTAATACGCACTATATATGTGCACGATATGTTCAATAGTAAAGACGCCAAGTGGCGTAGTCGCCGTCGTTTAATAACTCCTTCGTTTCATGACACTAACTTGCTACACAATTTCATGACCATCTTCGATAATCAATCACGTATTCTTGTTCAATATTACGATGAATGTATTCGAAAGGATAACGGACAACCACGTGATCTCTATGGATCCATATCTGCATGCACACTCGATATCATTACTGGTAGGTTTCAACATACAAAGAATTAAGCTTTTATTAAATCAATTCTAGAATCGGCAATGGGGAAAAATGCGGGAGCCCAAAAAAGCCTGGCCCTCGACATCAATAACGATTTTGTCGACGCAACCGGCCGGTAGGAACAAGGATATTTTCATGGAAAATCTCCAGGAAAAACACACGTATCTAGGAAGTCCACTCAGGATGTGGGTGTGTTCTGTTGCAGATATTCCCACACACACACACACACACCATTTTAGCGGATTTTATAGATACGAGTGTTTTTCCTGGAGATTTGCCATGAAAATAGATAAATAATTTCACGTTGTTGTAAATAATCAACCGGGGATTCATATGATGTTTGTGAACTTGTTAAAATTATGAGAACACTGTTTTACATAAATTGTATTTGCTAGTGTGGCTCGTATAGTACATGTACGCATGCGATCTCCATGGTTGTGGCCTGCGTTCATCTTCAATCGACTTCCATCAGGTCGGGAGCATAATCAACTATTAAAAATTCTTCATGGTTTCTCTCGAGAGGTATTTCATATTTGTTCAGTCTTATATTTATGATCTTTTGATAGATTATTCAACATCGTCTGACTACATTTAATGCTGAGCAAGCGAAAGGCAACAGTGAAAAGAAGAATAGGCGTCCGCTGGTCTTTCTCGATAATCTTATTAGTCAAATGCACGCTGAACAACTGTCAATGGATGACATTCAAGAAGAAGTCGATGGATTCATACTCGAAGTTTGTCTCAGTTTCATTTCCCACACATTTATACTATAGGTCCGGTTAAAATAGGGCCACGATACGACAGCAAATGCCATTAATTACACGTGCTATCTCATTGGTTCATATCCTGATGTTCAAGCTAAAGTGCACGCAGAAATCGATGCCATTTTTGCTGGTATTTTTGTTCTTTATTCAATCAGTTAAGAAAATATTTTTTACTATTTTAAAGATGATTTCGAAAGAGCTTGCACAATGGAAGATACTTATCATATGACCTATCTTGAAAGTGTCATTAAAGTAAGTAATGGCTTATCTCTGGGCTTTGTCACATAAGTTTTGTGCATTTAAACAGGAATCTATGCGTATTTTTCCACCTGTTCCACTAATTGGTCGAGAAATTCAAGAAGACTTTGTCTATCGTAAGTTGAATCGTTTTTGAAACAGGACTTCCAAAATGAAAAGTCAAAGAGAAGAAAACATGTGAAATTCTGTTATTATAGGAGGCGAAACAATTCGCAAAGGTACCACTGTGGTAGTATTCCTGCCTGGTATTCACCAAGATCCAAGTGTCTTTCCAGATCCGGACAAATTCGATCCGGATCGATTTAGCGCAAGTGCGGAAAGATCAAAGGATTGGTCTCCTTATGGTTTTATTCCATTCTCAGTTGGATCTCGTAATTGCATCGGTCAGTAGTTTTCTTCTCCACATACACACACACACATTATAAATATTTATCACTATTCAATAGGTCAACGCTTTGCCGGATTCGAAGAGAAAGTCATACTATCAACATTGTTTCGTCACTTCTCGTTTCGCTCCACGCAGACTATCGATGAACTTCATTTGTCTGCAGATATGATTCTACGACCTTTGGTTCCTATTAAGATGATTATCGAACGACGACATCGACAGTGATTTTTTTTTCTTCAAAGTGACATATTATTCTGACTTGTATTTGACAAATAAAATTGATTGTTATAAAAGTGAACTCAGCTAGGGATATGTAATATGATTACTGAAACTGATGCTTTCTTCAATCATTTAATTAATTGATCTTGTCTGTATCCCAACGATCAGTCTCTAGTAACTTTGCCCGTCATCAGTCCACATCCCTTGGTCAAGTTTTTTCGACAAAAAAGGCAACATATAAGGTTCTTAAAAATTGATCAACCACCTCAAAAATCTTTTGTCTTATCAGGCCGAATGCATATCAGGGGTGGTAGATAGAAGCATTCTGCCTCACCATTATATGTCCTTTGGTTTAGTAACTATTTTCTGTAAAATCCATTTTCTCAGATAGTCATCGCGAATTTTGGAAAAGTTTCCTCCTGAAATCAATCTTTTTTATGATTGAGTGTAAGTATATTTATGCTTAATTCTTATCTCATCCGATTCTTATTCTAAATTCTATAAAATATCAGTCAACTTTAATATCTGTTATATCCAAAGCAAGATATAATTTTCTCTCAATATACATAATTACGTGAGTTTTAGTTTTAATACGAATTCTCTATGTCAAGTTATTCTCTGCTCACTTTTATATCTTTATTATTACTTATATTAGTACGTATAGCATTGTATTTTTTGTTACCGTGTTAATAAATAAAGAAGAGAAACCGAGAATTAAAGAAATCAAGAGAGGAAGAAAAGATTGAAAGGATATGAGATGTAATCATTATATTATTTATAAGTTAAAGGCAATGAGAAATGCTTGTTACATTGTTCAGGAAGAGTATTAAACTATGTCACATTGTCAATATTATATATCTCAATTATGAACACGAATGTAACTAATAGTTGTAGTTAGTCTAAAGAAGTCATTAACAATGTTACAAATTATATTGATTAGTAATTAAAAGGAGACTAGTTATAGTCAATAGAATTTACTATCAAAATGACTACGGCCGAAAACTATGACTACAGTCGATAGCTATAAATGGAACTGTAGCTGATAATCCTTATTGATAGTTATAACCATCGTTAACGTCATAAAGAGATAGGTGTGGATTTGGGTTACTATAACTCTTCAAAGCTACACTCATATAGATGTGGAGAGATGTTTTAAAGAACAGAAATCTATTTAACAAGAGTCTGACTTTATCACAATCAAAAGTTTCTTAAAATATTTTGTGTGAGTCAAATAATTGTATAATAAAAAACAGAGGACAGTTGGATAAAATAATATTTATTTCTTATAATTGTATTCGATTATGTATATATCTATATCACTGCTTATTTTTAATAAAGTTATTCTTTTGAAAACTACATACGAGAAGAAAAATAATCATGAGCAAGCGAGAAAAAACTAAAGTACGTATCAAGTAAAAGTAACGATTAGAAAAAATGAATTATTTAAGACGTTGCTCCTAATGATTGATAATAAGTAGATAATACTTTCCATCCTGCTGGTACCATGAATCCTTCAGGTGGTTGTTCACCATTACGAGCAATCTTTCTCATTCGTGTACCAGATATAAAATCATATTCATCATGCTTATTTGGATCATAAAAAGTCATATTTTTTAAAACATGATTATAAGCAGCAACTTTAAATGGTAAGATCTGTAATTCATTAAGACCTGGCGCCATTGTCAAAACTTTTGAACCATGTGTTGAATCATAAAGATCTTTGGATTTATCCGATGGATGCGGTAAGCCAGCTGGATCACGACCAACAATATAAAAACGAGCACCAGTACACATACGAGATTTCGCATGCCATTGTACTTCAGTAGGACCTGCATAACTCATTGGCGATGGAAATATAGCAAGAACAGTTCGAGAACGATCTAGTCTATCATCTTCATCTTCATTTAAAAAAGCTTGATGTTGCGCCATACGTACAGGTAATGGGACATCATCTTCTTTTGTCCAACCACCTATAAAAAGAAATAGCAAGACTACTAAATAAAAAAGTATAATCAATATTGGTCAGAACTCTATGTGGGATAGGGCGATTCAATCTCGTTAAATTTTAAAGACCATCTTCTCCCGCTCTCCCTGTCGCTACATCCAAAAGAGTAGAACATCATCCTATAATAGAAAGCCAACCAAAATAGAGCGCTACCACCGATAGTTTGATTAAGTAGGCATAATAGAACTCTGTGCCAGTCAATTCGGTACAAAAAGAGTATGTTAATACTGTTTTACATATAGTGGAGATATGACTGTAAAGGAATATGTGTTTTAATGAAAGCAAAGAAAAACATTTAATTTGATTATTATTGCAGTTAATCCAAAATTTTAATCAACAATGGAATATCGCTATAGAAGGAATACCCTGAAATATGTTCCATAAAACCTTGAAGAGTTTATGAACGGAAGCCATCTTGGTAGAAAGAGTATATGACACACATTTGAGAGTGTATTATTTAGCGTTTTCGTGACAATGGTGTATTGTTTTTCAGACGATGTTTCAAGAATGAGCAGTTTCATGTGATGGAGTGAGGGAGAAAAGTACGTGGTCATCCGATCTCATGGGATAAAAACAATTTGTATAGCTATCCTATTCGATAAGCCGATTTTTTTCATTTATTCGACCCCATACAGAGCCTTGATACATACCTAATGGATGAAGAAGAAGAACAGGATTTTGAAAACCACCATCGATCAGTAGTTGACGTGTTGTTTGCATAAGAAGTGAATGTCCATTATGAATTGGATTTCGAAGTTGAAAAGCAAATACTGCATCGGCCTGATGAATTAAAACTACATATATTTATTGAAAAATATGATTGTTTTTTTACTTTTATGTCACAAAAACGTTGTCGTAATTCATTAGGTGTTAAACGAAATTGATCGAGTCCATCATTCCATCGAATTCTTTCCATACTTCAAGATCTCCACCAATTAACCAATCACCACTTTCAAGAATCATCTACATTAAATAGAAATTAATATATAATTAAGTGTGGATGTGGATGTGTGAGTGAGGATATGAGTGAATGACGGGTAAATGCTAGACCAATATTCATTCCCTCGGCTACATTACCCACACCCACTCAAAATTAATATTATTGAATAAGAAGCTAGATTTGAGTACTTTAATATGTGGATGTTCAGGATTTGTAGTACCGAAAATCCGTGCGCATCGTTCTTCTTTTCTATGTTCATAAAATTCGGGTTTTTTTTAAAAGAGCAACAAGTTTTTCATTATAGCACAGAGCGATTGTAGATGATGTTTTTAAACGTTCTTTATGTTCAGTTGCACATGGTAAAATAATCGGAATTGTTTGGTTTTCAATATGACCTTTTCGTTTTAATGACAAATAGAAAAGATCAATTTTTACATTGCAAATATTTACCTTTCATTAAACAACCAAAATGTAAACATTGTAAATATTCGGTTTCACGCATAAAACCACCGAGAGGAGTTGCCCAACCTTCACTTAATACTTGAATCCATTGTACATCTAACTGAAAACAAACAAAATATGAAATATTTTATCTAAAAATTATTATTTTACTTCAGTAATTTTCAATTTATTTAGATTTGGAAATTCTTGTAAGGCTTTTTCACGCATTTGTTCAGTTATAAAAAGTTCGTGTACTGGAAGAATTAATGTAGATGATAAAATATTCTAAATGTAAAAGATGATTATACTTGAAATTCAAAATATATAAGGTAGCAAAAAAATCTCATTATTGCTATAAACCAGAGATGGAACCGGTACCGACAATCGGTTGGTGAGGATTAACCGGTGATTTAATGATGGAATCACGATTAATCGTTGATCTTTTGATAAAATCGTGACTACACCTTTGATGTCGAGCGTGATATGTGTACCACTTTCAGTGTTACTCTAAATCTGCAACTAATATATAACTAAATCAATCAAAACTCAGTGGAGAGTGTGGGTATGGATGGATGTGGGGGAGTGAGTAGTCAAACCTAGGTGATTTTGATGACATGGGTTATATTCATAAATGCCTGCCGGTTCGGATTGGGATGAGAAAAAGTAGAACCGTGCAGTACTCTACTGCAGTCTGAGAATATAAATTTTATCAGCCATCTATTCTAGAGTTTGCATATGAGAACTACTCATGTCTTCTTGTAAAAGTCGAAATAGATCAAAAAGTTTTCCCCGTTAAAACTTCCTTCATTTTTGTTGTAGGAAAACACTTATATTTGGCTCTGCGAAGGGTAAAGCATTTTTGCAAGAAATGGGACAATTCCTCGCTATCGGGAATATTATCTAATCCTCGATTTTTGTTTTATTTGGCATGATGTATAAGATACTTCATTCAAACCATAAAAAACCCATCGACAAACTTTAGTTTCAGTTTGGGCAACTATTATCTTATGATTCCGGTCCCTCACATCTCCTACTGAGAAGCTTATTTTACATAAATTTAAATAAACTTACAAGTTCAGCCAATTTTCCTATAATCGTTTCAACAGAACGATCGACTGGCATCACGCTTGTATCGATTATCAAATCAGGATTCGATGGTGATTCATACGGTGCACCAATACCCGTAAAACCTAAATAGATTGCTTCATGTCAACAGAAAAAAATTAAATTAAATGTATAAACCTTCAATTAATCCAGTTCGTGCTTTTTTATATAACCCTTTCACATCTCGCGCTTCACATACAGACAAAGGTGTGCTTACAAAAACTTCAATAAATGGAATTTGTGAATTTTCATGTAGGCGTCTGGCACATTCTCGATCCTATGAAATTTTTTATCCTTATCATTTTTTTTCAAATTTTATTAAAACTGTTACTTCCTCAAATGGACTAATAAAAGCAACAATATACATCAAACCAGCATCAGCGAATAATTTTGCAACTTCGGCAATTCGTCGAATATTTTCAACACGATCTGCATCAGAAAACCCAAGATTTTTATTAAGACCACATCGAATATTATCACCATCGAGACAATAAGCTGGTAGACCTTTGCTTACTATATATTCTTCTAATGCAAAACTTTAAAAAGAAATTATCCAACAGAAATAAAAATAATTATATATTTTCTCTTACGCTATCGTCGATTTTCCAGCACCAGAAAGTCCTAATTGAAACAAAGTGTTAATAAGAAAAAAAAATTTAAATCAAATCAATATATTTACCAGTTAACCAAACAGTCGACTCTCGATACGCTCCACGCTGTCCTAATGCTACTGCACGTCGTTCACGTGTAATTTTCGATATGCAAGAAAAAACATTATTTTCATTCTAATAAATAAAACCATCAAATGTTAAAATTAAAATAGAAAAATTGATTATCCTTCACCAAAATAGTAGCAATACATCAAGCATACTATACGTACTTCGTTTAACATTACTGGACGTTATTACAAGCAAAATGAAATCAAGCTTTGCTTTATTTATCGAATTGTTTTTCGCGCATGATCGATTTCTCAAGGCTTGCGAAAATATTAGCGCAGCGAAAAAAAAGAATAAATTTATTTATGCATTTGCAGTTGAATAGTTGTTTTTATTATCGGTAGGAATACATTTCTTTTTAATATTTTGTTTAGCTAAAGGACGGGGAGCGGATTTTAGCTCAATTAGAAAGCAGGGACAGGTTCACATGAAACTTTCAGCGATTACACTAATTATATAGAGTCACAAAGGTGCTTATAGGCAAGAGATTGCAAAAAGTATGTCTTCGTCTTATTAGCCAACATATACCTGCACAATATGCATTAGAATGCCTTATACTGTGCTTTTTTATACCAAAACTCGACCAATTCAGAATAAAAATACAAGATTTGAAATCAAGACAAAAAATCACGGGAGAACCTCCCCAACTGATCAATAGCTTTTGAAGTAATATTTTACCCATAAGTAGAACCAATTGAGACTAGAAAGTTTTCAGAAGAATAAGTGGCCTTAGAGCTTTCTTCCAGAGTTAGCATCGTTTCGCTGATTTTTTGATACAAAGTTTCAGAAAAACCTGTATATGGACACTTGTTTTCGGTGTTATAGATTTTATATACTCGATTTCTAGTTTTTATTCGAAAAGAAATCATACAGTTTTTGTTCAGAATTTAATTCTCTATCAAATAGCATATAAATTGAGGGTGTGGGTGTGGACGTATAATGATACAATATCCACATCCGCATCCACACCTCACGCCGGATTAGCGGAGTAGTGGTATAGCGGACTAGCGGAATTGCGGTATAGCATATTTCGTTTATTTTTTCTGGTTAATATTTATGACATAGCATTTTAAAAAGTTTAGACCACGATTATTTTTGAAAACAAATGTTTAATTCATGATTCATTAAAATAGAAAATCCTTAGGTAACATTCACCATAATTAAGGTATGGGATCGAGTGAGGGTTCGGAAAATGTGTACACAATAGACCTAGCGCTTAGTAATACATGTTACTATTACGATACTCACAACTTTCACAATATCGCTATGCCACCATTCTGCTATACCGTTATTCATCTAGTCCACTATTCCTCTACTCCGCTAAACATACAAAATGCACATACTTCGAGTGGATCTAATATCTTTATTGAATTTTATATAGTGTCGATTTAGTTTGAATTTGGCGCAAAATCAAAATTCCCCGTGAACTTCTATTAATAAACCACTTTTGTATAGATCAATACAATGAATCCTCAAATACAGAGTGTATTATCCCCTATAATAAATGCACTATTTGAGAGTTGATTTTGTTAATCTATGCAAAAAGAGTTTATCAAGACAGAGACTAGTATAAGGGTATATCAGTTTGCAACAGGACACAAGCCCTTATTTACTTTTTTGAGGGTTTATTATTCATCGCATTTTGTTAGTGTATATCAGGTTGACTTTATCCTACTTGATTCTATTTCAATCAGACTTCAATTTACTTTATTGTCGTTCAAATTTCAAGTACAATCGAGTAAATTGACGTGGAGTGAAATCAAACTGATGAGCAATTGACAGAAATGTCACCATAATTGAAATAGACATAAAGTACAAGTAAGGTGCATTAAAGTCGCTTGAAGCAGTATTCTTTTCTCTTGATTGAAACGGACGCTTAATTGTATAACAGTGACGTCTATTGAAGTAGTCAGAATGAAGCATACCGACTCAATAAAAAAGAGTCGCCACTATAAACGAGTTTTGCGTGAAGTTTTCAAAATAATACTTTCATTCTTTTAGATTAGTTTTTTTCTATAACTATGACTCATAAATTCTGCATTTCATCGATTAGTGACCTACTATATAAGCAGGCACAAACACGCCCAGACAGAGCGTGTCTCTTATATCCTAGTCAAACAGATCAACAAACGTACGCAACACTCACTTACAAACAATTTGACCAGGTCACCAATCATCTGGCGCAAATGCTTTCTACACAAATGGGTCAAAACTCAACAGAAGATAATCCGGTTGTCTGTCTGTTGGCAAACAGCAATGCAAACTATGTACTAATCATCTACGCTTTTCTCAAGCTGAATGTTATCATATACCCATTGAGCATTCGAAACTCAGAAGCTGCGATTATACATTTACTCGAAAACTCAAATGTATCACATTTGTGCTACTCCAATGAATATTCGACAATAGCCGAAAAGGTTAATAGCAAATTTGGTTCAACAGTCGGTCTACACCTATTGGAAGAAATCAATATCGAAGAGCTTGTCGCTCATGAAGAATCCACTTTTATACCGACACTTGACACAGATGAGCTCGATAGAATTCGGATCATCTTACATAGGTATGCAAGTTGTTGATCAAAGAAATTAGCAAGTTCTTCTTGTATAACTATTCTTCTATTCTAGTTCGGGTAGTACATCGTACCCAAAACCAATTCGCTTGAGCACTCGATGTTTATTTGGTTATTTCCAGAGCTATGTACCAAAGAACAAGGACCTATGGACAGATGAAGACACTGTATTGACCTTGTTGCCTTTGTAAGTGTTATTTGATACTTTGGCCTGAGATATTTTTTCGATAGCATGGGATTAGTTTTCGGAGACTTTCTAGAAGGTTTTTACAGTCAACAGTATCCTCAAATTTCTCAGTTAATAATATGACAAGTAAATGAACATTGATGGATAGCATAAAGTTTGATCTCACCGTCGTAACGTAACGTATGAATAAGGATATTGAGCATTTTATGAATAGAGTATTGGACGGTATCATTATTTCCTCAAAGACATTACGCAAAGAAACGTTACGTGGAGAGTCGAAATCAAGAAATCTCTCACGGTAGCTTCTTGAATCACTTTCTGAAAGATGCACATACTTTTAAATAATGTTCAAACATAGCTGTACCAGAACTGGCACATAATGCGCTCTGTACAAGAGAGGATTTAGAACGCACGAAAGTAGACGAGAGTACATGAATTCTGAATTGCAGGTTTTTTAGGGGTACCTGAGCGTTAGTACATGAAATTATAGGTTCACTGAATGGCTTCATGTTCATATGTTGTAGGTTGGGTCTTTTATAGACTACATTATGTACTCGTATTAGCGCAACCTTCTGCTCAAAACATTCACCGAAGCTGATCTGCTATTCAGAACAAATGAAATCAACTACTTATTTAGAAAGCAGGTTTACTAGATATATCACCTATCCCTCATTCACAGTATACAAATTAAGCAATAATAATAAAAAAGCTTTGTAAAGAACAGAGTGAGCGCAGTTTCTAAGACTTCCATATTAGATCGGCAGAGACCAATTATCGGGATACCTGTAACATTCGGAAATACTACCTAGAAAAAGATCGTATATGTTTCGAGATTGGCTCCAGGGAGAGACATCGGGTTCTAGAAAACCTTTAATTTGGAGTTCATTTTATATTCTTCTGCGTCTTCCAAATTTGATTGAAGTTCCTGAGATTTTGCTTTGTAAAAAGAAGTTTCGGATTTTTTCAATAGTTTCTGAATTTCTCCAAGTTTCTTTCTCATACTAATTTCCAAAAGCTCTTAAAACCAGATGTTTCTTGATTTTATGTCATTTTCATCGGTATTTCTAGATCTTTTGTACTGTTCGTGAGTTCGTTAGTTTCTGAGGTTTTTTCTTGTTCTCAGAAAGTATCTTGAATAGAAGTCTGCTTTCTTGATCTTGACTTCTAGTGATCTGTTTGTTTACAAATTATAGACTGATTTGTTTCATTTTTTTAGGTTTCATATGGGTGGGGTGTCACTCTCACTCAGAATGTTATATGTGGGAGGAACATGTGCACTACCATTGGCAACTTCGTTTCCACCATCCCCTAAAGAAATATTGGCTAGCATTCAACATTCAAAGAGCACTATTTTGGCTACTGTACCATTATTTCTTGAACAGCTGATTCTATTACTACATCAGGACGACAACATCGGTTTTCAGATGCTAGCTCGTTTAAAGTTCGTCTCCTGCGGTGGTGCAGCTTGTCCGCCTCATATCGGCAAACAATTGACCGAGCGAGGTGTAAACCTCGTTATCGGTTATGGTTCAACAGGTCAGTGATTGTTAAATCAAACGTGGATATTCTTAACTTCCCGTTTAATCCAAAAGAAAGTTGAGCTTTATAACTGCAAATCGTTACTGCTTCATTATAACGCGTGTTACAAAAGGAATGGAGTTGTTTTATTCTCAGTTTTTCCTGTCTCCTTTTGAATTTGCAGACGTCATTTTTTTATCAATAGAATCTTCGTTCAATTCTCTACAAATTGTATACTTAATTCAACGAATATAATCTTCTTTATTTTTCAAAATAAGGTGGAATAATAAAATAAGGTTTTCAACAAAATATAGAACATTTTGAACTCAGATTATTCCACGGCCTGTTTCAATGCTTGCATCATCAGTTGTTGTGCCCACATGTTTCCAGTTCATTTCTTAAACAAATTCATTTCAGTTACTGTAGCCTAATAATTTTGACTCTGAAAAATTCGGTGGTGGCCGATCATAAGGCAGATGACTGTTTTCACGTCTCACTTTTACTCGTGAGGGATCATGATGGATAAGAGAAGGTTATACTATTCTCCGATTTTATATAAGAAGTTTTTTACGTTTGTATTTTATATTTATATCGCTGCTGTTCTCGATGCCGAGATTAAATAAATGCAGTAAATTTTTAGAAAAATTTTTATCATCTGATTGAGAATTTTCTCGTTCGATAAAAGTTCTAATGTTTCTTTTTATCATAGATTATGAAGATTAATAGAAAACGACGATTCTCTTTGTTTAATTAGAATTCATAGTGTTATTTACATGTCAGACTGATTTAAGAACTAGATACCTTTTTCGGACCGTTAGAAGTGCACATTGCAGAAGCAATCCTGTATGTGATAAACATTTACTTGTTATATTTATGAGCAATCTTCCGTCTACCAATAGTCTGCATTAACATTCTTTAGATCGTTTTTCAGTTTCATTTATTCTGATGAGATTTCATCAACATTAACGGCTGACACTTAACCTTCTCTAGGCACTTCGAAAAATAGGCTCCCTGTGAAATCTTAAATGCCTTGCTGATGTATTAATGCATCTGAGAAAATATCGAATAAGTTTTACTAGTCGTTCGTACGAACAGAGAGTTTAGATAGGGGTTTATGACACTCATATGCAATGTATAGAATTGCCTTTACGGGTTTATGAAGTTAATATATGTATGTGTCTGTTTAACGACTTAAAGATACTCTAAAGCTATTGTACTTTGAGCCTGGATAGGTACAGTTTTTTCACAGGTTTCAGCTATTCACAGACGTTTCTAGCTTAAAAATTGTTCGGAATATACGTCAGGTATAAACGTTAGTGATAACAATAGGCGGATGTCTTTTTCAACGTGACCCAGAAACTTTTAAAACACGCAAATACGCTTGCTATAATTCTAGTACGAGTTATATCAACGATGCATTGATGCCTATTTTTTTGTGATGTGTCGACGATAATACTGACTATTTTCTTTTAATAATTAATATAGAAACGGGATTCCTGCTTGCCAGTGAATATAATACGACGAACAAAGATCAATGGAACAGATTACGGCCGATGCTTAATCGCCAGCCATACATGAAATTCTTACCAGTAGAGCCGAATTCTAATATTTTAGAACTTTTTATTCTTCCGACTGATCCATTTTTAGCACCCGATTTTGCTAAAAATGGTCCCTATTCTCCTGGTGATCTGTTTCTTGAAGAGCCACCTGGATCGGGCTATTACACAATTCAAGGTCGCAAAGATGATATTTTAGTGCATGTAACAGGGGAAAAAACGAGTGCTCTGCCAATGGAACTCGTTATCCGGCAACACTGTATCGTCGAGCGTGTTGTTGTGCTTGGTCACAATCGTTTGTGCTGCGCCGTCCTTATTCAACTTAATATTGAAGAAGCATCTAAGCACGAACTTTGCGAGATTGAAAAGCAAGTTTTAACTGCGGTGAACGCAGCCAACAAAGACGCTCCTTCCCATTCGCAGATAGTACCAGCTATGGTGAAAATTCTTCCGATGAGTAAACGTTTGCCAATTACGGCAAAGGGCAACGTCATTCGAAAATTGGCTGATCTAGAATACAAAGATATAATTGAAAAAATGTATGAAGAGTTTCTCAATATGTCCAAAACAGACAGCTATACCGAACGCCCCTGTCAACAACATTCTTGGACAAGAGACAGAATTTGTAACTATCTTCAGTCAACAGTGGCCCACGTTCTCAATAAGCCAATCGAGACCTTCGCTGACTACACAAAATCGCTACACTCCCTCTCACTAGATTCACTTACTGCCGTACAACTACGTAACACTCTTTGCTTTGAATTTGGCCAACTTGAGCAAAACATCATCTTTGAGTTTCCATCCATTGACGTCCTGGCAGATGAGCTCTTAAGAATCACGAGCAAACAACAAGCTCGAACTTCAAACGATCCGCTGCACTATAAGGAAACAGAAGAAATCATCGACAAATATATCGATTTAATGAAAGCACATAAAGATCAGATGATTATTGCTTCAGAGACAATCTCGAGTGACTTAGACAGCAACGCGTCAAAAAAACGAGTAGTCTTGATCACTGGTGCCAATGGGTCACTTGGTAGTCATATAATGTTGGACTTGATGAAAAAGCCTCAAGTGAAGCGAGTTTATTGTCTTTTACGTGGTGAAAATGCTACGGATCGACTTCACCGTGCCATGCAAACACGCAAACAAGACTTAACAGTGTTACTTGACACGAACAGAGTCGTCGTCTTGTCAATGGATCTAAATGATGAAAAGTTGGGTCAAACATTAGCCATGTATGAACAATTACAGCGCGAGGTCACTGACGTTATTCATTCGGCTTGGAAAATGGACTTCAATATGACTATCAAAGATTTTCATCGAGAGTGCTTGCAAGGTCTCTATCATTTGCTCAAACTTGCATCAAACACTTTAACACAATCAACAATGCGTTTTCATTTTATCTCGAGTATTAGCTCTGCGGGCTCTGGTTTGATTGAAGAAATTGAAGAAGAACCGCTACCACGTCAAGAAGGTCTTTCTCTTCCTCAAGGATATGGCCAATCAAAGTATGCTGGTGAACACATATGTTGGGCGGCTATGGATCTGTGGGGTGAGTTAGAAGCAGATGTGCAGAGCTGCATTCCAAAATAATTTTCTTACTGAAAATATCATAAAACTTGACTACAGTTGGCACTAGTAAACGAGTTCACAGTTAGTTTGCATTTTCAAAGATCGGGATGGAAAAGGATGTGGATGTATCGTTTCTTTACTTAAACCCACATCCATATCCTCTCTTAAAGCGTTTTTTTCATAAGAAGAAAGTTTGTAAATATTGTTTCAAGCTGTTACGTTTGGCTAGAATATGGAAATTTAATATTTACGGGAATGGGACGAACGATATTCTCAAAGTATTTTTCATTTGATTATGGCTTCCAATCTAGTCAGTTGTTAGAGAAAAATATCGTTCATCCCATTGCCGTAAATATTAAATTTTTATATTTTAGCCAAACGTAGTAGTTTAAAATAGTATTTACAAATCTTTTTCTTATGGGAAAAAACGCTTTAAGTAAGCTTTTATTACTGATAAAAATATCCGCTCGTTTGGTCGATACCTGACGGAGATATTCAAATTTTTTTGTTTTAAATTCCTCCGTGCATTTTTCAGAAAATTCTTTTCTTGAATTGTCTTTTTAAATCAGGTACAACACTATATTCAGTGCATCAGTAAAAACGGCACAGTTCATCAGACTGTGCCCGTTCTGAGCTTTTGATTTTTTTTCCTTCCTTTTTATCAACAACAGTTATGTTTGTGTATAATAATTTAGATGTACCTGTCGATATCTATCGGTTTGGGCAAATTTCTGGTGATAGTGAAACGGGCGTATGGAACACCAATGAAATGATTTCCATAATGATATGTGGAGGAGGAGGAGAATTAGGTGTATTGCCTGAAAATTATCAACGAATTAACTGGATTCCGGTCAATTATGGCGCAGCTTCTGTTTCTGATATCGCTATGGATGCTACCACACGAACAGCACCACCTTCTGAGCGCGTGCACCACATTCTCAGTCCATATACGATCAGTTGGTCTCAATTACTAGAACATCTGAAGTTATCTGGCCTTCAATTCAAAGTGGTGCCCAGTAAAGATTGGTTACGCATGTTGCTCTCCAGTCCAAATAATCCAGCTTATATACTAGCGGGTTTCTTCGAAAAGATTTTTGCTGAAGGCAAGAAGTTTGAACTCGTCAAATATAGAACAGTAAAAAGTGTTCGACAATCAACGGCACTCAAATCCTGTCCTTCAACTGATCGAGAACTTGTTCAGCGCTACTTAAACTATTGGTCGGAAGTTGGCTTTTTGAAGCACGGATATATATATGCTGTCTCGGTGAAAGGACACTAATTTATGACACATCAAGGAAGAAAATCAATTTATCGTGCAAGAATCTTCTATGAATAGACACTAACATATAAACAAATAATGTGTCTACTCGATACGCCTCGTTTTATTCAATACTGAAAGTAAAAATAATGGAGTAGAGAACCGAGTAATATGCTAGGGTGTGGCTGTAGTGGGTGTGGGTGTGAATGTGGGTTTAGTGTGGATGCTAGGTGAATACAGTATTCATAATCACACTTTCAAAGTTCTACATATATAACACTATTCAAGTATTCACAGTTCTTTCATTTACATAGTCATCTTCAAGATGAAACATATTTGTTGCTTCTATAATTTCATAATTATTTTCTTTTAGTATCATTTACCGTTTTATCAATAATAGATCGAATAGATCAATACTGCTCACTCTAGAAAAAGAAATGACGCAATGTAGATAAACCTTTTGACGCCAATAGTTGTCTTATGTTTACCATACAAGTTTTAATTTGTTTGTATGCCCTAAGAAAGATTTCTGTCTCATTCGTAGAACATTTATACAAGCCAAATATTTTTGTACTTAAGGATTATATTTCATAAAAAATTAGGAAATGATATACAAACATTTAGTTTTGAATAATATTAACCGTTAAGAAAGCTTTAAAACATTGAATGGTATTTTATTTACTTTTTTCGATTATGTTAAGTTGATTTCAATTAAAAAGATATTGTTCTGACTCTCTTAGATTATTGACATTATTGAATCATCATTTGATGAACGTATTTTTGTTGTTCGATACACTTGATTCTTACATTCAACTTGCATTTTAATTTTTTTTCGTATTTTTTAGCATATGTTCATGAGACTAAAATTCGCAAAGATCGTATAAAACTTATAGTCAATGCAAGTAAAAGAGAGAAAATGTGTATATTGAGACGCTTAGTTGTATGACATCCGTAACGTTGAGTATACTGTTTCAACTTCACTTCAGAATTTATGTGAGATGTTTTTCAGTAAAAAATAAATAATATCTATTTTTGAATAACTTTCGTCGATAATTCTGTTTACGTGAGTAGCGAAGTCAAATAGAAAGGGTTGATGTATTTACTTTATGTTCATTAATATCGAAAAATACCCTTTAGACAACCAGATGTTATAATTTTAATAAAAATGGCCAAGTTACTGATTGAAAGAATAAGAGTTCATAGAGTGTGGGTGGGTGGGTGTAGGTGTAGGATAGAGAAACAACATCTACGCTCACACTCTCAAGATTGTAAAAGCTCATTCATGCATTCTACATTTAAATGTGTATGATATTATCTTTTAGAGATAGTTTTGAAATATGTATGATATTTCTATTATATTTATTGAAGTATTACTGAAGAAAAGTAAAGTTTTACATGTCAAAGTATTGTATAAGTGCCTCTCAAGCAGCTCTTTTTACTAGTTTGATCCAAACTTCTTCTGGTACGATGACTATCAGTTCACGAATGTTGAATTTGCTTTCGAGATCGTCACCGGGTAGAACTGAATACTCGCGAAGCAGTCGTACTAGCACAATTTTCATCTCGATTAATGCAAAGCGCATGCCAATACAATGCCGGGGTCCTGCTCCAAATGCTAGATAAGCCATTGGATGTCGTTTGGTTTTATGACGCTCGGGAAGGAACAAATATGGATCCTCAGGACCCCAAAGCTCACGATCGTAATGGACCGAGTATACATCAGCATGCACTAACGTACCTTCGAAAGATAAAAAATACAATTTCCTATACAGCTATTGTAAATCAGCAAAAACGTTTTTTCGAAGACATAGAAAAACTCGAAAAGGAAAATTCAGAAGCCTATGATACGATTCTTTGGTGATTTAGAAAAAGTACCTTTTTCAATTTTAATTCCTTGTACCATTGTATCTTCGAAGGCACATCTTTGAATGCCTTGGTTATTAATGGGATACATTCTTAAGATCTCAGAAATAAACATATCCATATAGGGCATTTGAGCGACTATATCATAATCGGGATAAGTTTTTGTTTCCTCGTCGGATCTCTCATCACTGCCCAATGGAAGTTGATCGATTTCAGCTTGAAGTTTTGCAAGAACTTCGGGATGTCTGGCAAGTTCATACGTTGCATATATGCCAAAGCAGTTGATCTTGTTTCATATCCTACTACCATAAAATTAAAGACGTTGCTGATAATTTCTTCTCGAGTTAGCCGATAGTTTGCCTTGCTGCTGTCCGGTACGTCATCCTAGAAGAGAAATATATTTCTGATGCACTTTGTGTTCTATCCAACCATATAAGATTTATATTAGATCACCAATCAATCGGATTCTAGTTAAGTTTCATAGATATTATTTACATTAATTTTCTCTTCAGTTATCACTTGTAACATTAGTTGCAGAACATCAACTCGTGTAGTAGGTATCTGCTGTCGTGCCTTCACAATTGGGTGTAGACGATTGAGAAGCCACGCCATTGGTGATTCATATAACTGTTTTGTTGATATCAAGGGTAAAATATGTATATTGATGAACGCTCGTGTCGTGTTCATACCAAGAACGATTTTTCCAATGATATTTCCTATTCCAGGCGCAAGTTGACCAAGTTTGAAAAAAATATTTAACCTAAAGTTAATGGTAAAAATCTCTTCGAGTTTTTTGAAATATATATTATCTGGATTATTTTGCATATCGGTATCGAGTCCAAATGCACATCGACCTAAATAATGAGAAAAATAATAGGCAATTAAGACCTTCTCTTAGCTTACAGAACTTTCCTTGTTTTCTCTCTCTCCAAAACATAACTAAACATGCCTAAGAGTGTTTCTACATATACAAGAATTCGCGAAACCTTACAATTGGATTTTCAAGGATTGTGATGTCTTCGAAAGATTTCTAAGACCTAGTAGAACGATGACTACAAATTCCGCTAACAAACAAATGATTAGCTATAAAGAAATTTTTTCGATGATATATGATTAGCAAACTAAGATCTTTTCAGAACATACACTTGTAGGCTAAATAGGAATCTTAACTGTTCTCTATCTTTATTTTGAAAGAAAGACATAAGAGTCAACTTACATATGGCGTCCATTGTCATTCGCTTATAGTATACATAGATATTGAACTGATTGTTGTTTGTTGCATGATCAGCTAATTTTTCCATAAGATTACTGATACATCCATTGATAAGTGGACTCATCATTTTTAGTTTGGCTGCAGTGAATGTTGGATTTATTACATGACGATGTCGACGCCATTTTTCACCAGATGAAAGAAAGAGGTTATTAGCCTTACGTACATAAATCTCACGTCGTCCTTGAAAAACGAGAAATTGTTTGATAAAGACTTCGTGAAGAAAATCAGGATCACTAACAACAAAGGTAGGAACACTGCCTTGATAAATTCCATAGATCTTCCCATATTGTTTCGTCCAGCTTTCAGGTTGACGGTGAAAGGATGCACAACTCCACAAGGTTCGAAGATGACCAAAGAAGAAACGGAATGGTGGTGTGGGAATTCCGCGTTGACTAAAATATTGATAACGTTGTCGCAGAAGAAGAAGATAGTAGATCATAAGACCGATGCATATGAAAAGCAGAATTATGGATAAAAGTAACATTTTTTCTTGTCTAAAAAAACAAATCGCATCTGTTTATATAATTGATCATATGCGACCTTTCATTCGTGATCGAAGTACGCTAAAATACAAATTGCGTTTGATAACGAAATAGCCAAGCTTGAATGGCGCATGTCTTTTCGCTGTTTACTTCATTGATAGCCATTCTCGATCGAGAAGAGAAAAAAAACAACTACAGCCAATATCTACAAAGCACATTTATTCGTCCTCCTCGTTCGCACTAATACAAAATGGCGTACTTTTCTCATTGATTTGCATACAAAGGTGAAACTATATCGAATACTTGATACTTCTATTTCGCATCATTCAGTTTCCTCTCGTCTTTTTTGATGAGAATCAATGAATTAGTGAATAAACGAAATATTTCTTTCGATATGTGCTCGAGTTGTAGCAATAAGAAAAGATAGATCTAAAACTCTGCTTAAACTCGAAATGCTTGATAGTTTTTATTTTTTATTCAAACGTCTCAGTGGTTATACAGATCTTCTAAAAATTTGGGTGTGGGTGTGAGTGTGGGTGTGGGTGATACTTTAGCGACATTCGCAGTCTCTTCTATACCTACACGCTCGAGATATCCTTTACTTAGAAAATATTTCAAATTTGAAGAAATTAATATATCATGACTATGTAAAGTTGATTGTATTATAAAACCTATAAATGCCTAATTAAAACAAGAATTCATACTTATAATTTTTAAATGTATTTCATGTCAAATCAATAGGATTGATTTTGATTATTAACTCAAAAGTTGTTCGACAACTAAAACATTCACAAATACAAATAAAATATGAAAGCAATATTACGTAATCAATATAATACTTCTTAGATTGTAGTTGATCTCTGTTATAACATCACTTTTGAAAATATTTATATTGAGATGATATTTACGCGTTTCTTCCACAGACTTGATATGACCTCGAAATCAAAACAAACGAATAGCACAGAATTCGATGAAAGAGACAAATTGTGAAACAAATTAAAGCAATAACAAAAAAAATTCGAGTAGTTAAAAAATGCCGAAACAAGTATGACCAGAGAAAAAAAATCGAACATATAAAACGTCGAAAACTCCCAGATGAAGTTCTGAAACAATAATATTGTTTTCTCTTTTTCATCTTGAAGATGAAGGTGGGACTGTGGTTGTTATGTTCTTGTCTTACCCACAACCACCCCACTCATATCCTCAAGCTATAGTGCTAGCTTTGCCTCAAAGAAAAATTTGCCAGCCATATCCTAAAACGTTGTCAATAAATTTTCAGTGTATGATGTTAGATCTTTTTCTCGGCAGAATTTCATAAAATGAAATGAGAAAAACAATATTATTTAGTTCATAGTTAGTGACAAATACTGACGCAAAAGTCACGATTATTTTTAATTATATACTAAATAATCCAAGTTTTTGCTAAAAAATTGCCATTTATTAAATAATTGGATTAAAATTGATTTTAATTTGTTAATCAGTTACAAAATAATCCTTTTTTTTAGATTATAATTGATAAACTAATTTCTAACCCGATTTTTAATAAAAAATCAATTATAATCTCAAATCTCATAGAATTTTATTAAAGAATTTCGATCGATTACAATTGATTTACTTTTCTTAGATCAGATTTATATTGTCAATCTATTATAATTTCAGGAATCAATTGAAATTGATTATTTTAATGTGATTTGAACCACATTGTTTTATTTTTTAATCAGTTTTAATCCCAATGATGTTAAAATGAATTTTTGCTTGTATTTTGCTTGTCAAATTCAATTTTCTGATCATTTTTTCTGGCTCCTTAACTCAATGCATAGTGAGTACGCTAGTGGCTATCAAGTGTTCACAAATATTCCACACATTAAGACATATGATATCAATTGATGCTTAATCATATAAATGAGAATATCGTTAAACTAGATTAAAATCAATTTTTTATTGGTATTGACTGATATGGGACTTTTCATAGATTATAATCAATGATAATCGATTAAGGTTGATTATCCTCGATTATAATCTTGAGTTTGTTTAACAATAATCGTATTTATAATTTTGTTTATGACTATGACATTTTTAAATTTGAATCGATTATGAGCGTTACAGTTTTTCAATTGGTATAATGAGAACAAAATGAATTGAATGAAAATAATAGCAAATAAATATTTTAACTTTCTGCACAACTTTCATCATCGACAGGTAAAATGAGAAGATATCCGTTTATAAATGAAAATAACATTTTCAAATATTCTAATAAAAGTCCTTGATCGACGATTGATAAATAATATTATCTATTTCTCTTTTTCATTTTCAATATCAATCTATGAAATCTATATTATAATTTATAAGTTTTTTTCAGTAACATTTTTCTTATATGCACACCTTCAAAATCTAATGACACAAATATTACCGATATTTTTGGTCATAGTTTTACCTATGCCGATGTTGAAACATTTTTAAGAGGTTCAATTCTCTGTCCAAGAAACAAAGATATTTAATTGATTAATGAACAAGTTTTGATAAATTTAAGAAAATGTTGAACAAATAAGTTTTTATGTAATCGACTCTGTAGGACATGGTGATTGATAAGTTAATATTCCAATTGAATTTCTAAATACTTTGAATCCATCAGGATTATCATTATATAAGTTAAATTAAAAAATCGATTGTACAGTAATGCTTTTGAGAAATGTGCCGATCAACAAAGGATTGTGCAATAAAACTAGAATGATTGTTAGAGTCTTTCGTCAAAATGTGCTTCAATTTAAAAGTATTCCTGTCGCATTTTTCAGAACTGTTCATTTTATTTCTAGAATTTCTCTAGATACATCGAATGATCCAATACTTCCATTTAGCTTCATTGAACACATATTTCTAGTCCATCTTGCATATCCAATAATAATAAATAAATCTCAATACGAAACTTTTAATAAAGTTAGTTTCTATTTTTCAAAACTCTACTTTTCTTATGATCATTTTTCTACAAGATATTCAAGATCAATGATATCTAATTATTTAAAAATTCAGTAAAAAATACCACTATGTTTAATTATATGTTTTTATTTATATTTAATAAATCAGATACTAAACACAAACTTTTTATTAAATCAATTTTCCCTATACTATTGAAGTCCAACTCTTCACAAGAGTCTCCTGTAATATTAGAATATAATGAAAATAATACACAGATGTGAAAGAATAACTAAAACCAATGTATTCATACCTATAAATGATTTATATTTTATTCGAATTCAATGAGTAAATACAGAAAAAAATATCTAACAAACGACATATAAGTTCTTGGAAAAAATATGACTCTATTTTCATTGACTACAATATATTTCAAAACAAAAATCAAAATTTAACATCAACAATCTATCTTTACAAGGTTTTCTATGTATATGTTAAGAGAGTGTTAATCGGAAGCAAAAAGAGAATCGTTCTCTCGATGTTTGTTGATTTTCTCTTCATCTTTTCTCCGTTATATTTCTTTTCGATGAAAGTAAAAAGCATCGTCTCTTCCTTTGATTTTAATAAACTAATCGAATGAGAAATAAAGATTATTCACATACAATTAAGGAGACTAGTAGTCAAGGATGTAACGATGCATAATCACATTCATAGTGGCTTTCAATACGTTCTTCCATTATTCGTTTACTCTTACTAGATAATATAACAAAGATTTATCCTTGTCCCTGATTTATAAAAAAAATGAGGATACAATCGATTTATCCTTGTATTTCTTCTTCTTCTTATACACTCCTCTGATTTATATAAAAGGAGTCTATGAAAGATATGTGTTCAGTTTTATTATACTTTCGAAATAAAAGACACGTGGACAACGTAACAAAAACTATCATCTTACGGAGTTCGTTATAAATGGAAAAATCAACGGAGAATAAAATATCGAATTGATTAAACAATTAAAGTATCTATGATTTAAATAGATTGACAAATTATCCTTGAAACTTACAGTCGAAAAGTGTCAATGTTTTTTGCATATACTTTCTCACATTTCACGTGATTATTTTCATTTCTTCCTTTCTTCTAAAAACTCCACAAGAGATATTGCAACAACAAAAAACGTGTGAAAATGTTCGGTTGATGCAACGCCCTCCTTTTGTTTCTACAAAAAATATTTACAAAGAATAAGAAATAAGTTCTAATTTCTTTTTATAATATTCTCTTCTCACATGTTTTTGTAGTGTCGGATGCTATTATTTTCAGTACATATATTTGACATTTAGATCTACTTTATATTACAAATTCAGCTCTGTGTCTATTATTGCTGGAGAGACACAAATATTACTAAAATAATCAATCTTTTTGAAAAAAAAACTTCGAATAGTGCATGTTCGATTCGTAGAACATGCTTCTTTATATTTATCTCTTGCGTTCTGTTATCTATTAACGTCTTTACGAAAAAGAAAATATATGAAACCTTTTTTTTACCTTGTGATCAAAACGTGCGTAGAAATTACATGAATAGGCAAAATAATTTTTGTGTTGATTAGGTGATATAATATTTGATAATACTTGATCAATAGAGAATATTCAGGGTGCAATTAAGGAAAGATTATGAGATGAAGAATTTGAAAATGAATTAGAGTTAAAATACTAAGTGGTGAAAAAATAAAGAGCATTTACCGCAAAAAAATGTAAGCAAATAAAGAAAAAAATATCTGATCGACTGAAACAAGTCATAGAGCAAGGCAGAGAACAAATATATAAACATTGATTAATAATATTTTTATTCTTTATTCAGGTAAAATCGGATTTGTTATCTCATTTCGAGCAGTACTTTTTATGCAACATTGTAATCAAGTGTAATAAATACTCAAGTATTTCAAAGATTGTTTTGGTCTTTTGCATGATTTCATTGACGTTTGTGTGTCTGTAATAATAATAAATAAAGAATTGCATTTCTAATATAAAGTAGATCTAGATGTCAAGTATATGTACTGAAAATAGTAGTATCAGACAATACGAAAACATGTAAGAAAAGAATATTACAAAAGAGAATCACAACTTATTTTACACCTTTTATTATTAATGATGAATACCGTTTAGACTTTTATGATAAAAACATACTAAAAGGTGGCTAAAAAATATTGCAAATGACTCATCCTTGCTCTTGCTTTTTTACAACAATATTTTTATTTAAAATTAATTTTATAAAAAACGAAAAAACCGATTCCTTCAGTCATTTGTTTTTGGTGATGTCGTATATTATAACTAATAGATCGTCACGAATCATATCTTTTTGAATTAGATGCTTTTTTTTTACTAAAACGAATGAATATCACAAAACAAGTATACCCGTGAACTACCTTTCTTTTTTCTTTTCTTCTGTTCTCGTATTTGTATTCATTCTCTAATAGCGCTTTTTTTCTTACTTTTCTTCTTTTTTTTTTTTTCTTCAGAATAGTTTGTATTTATTCTTTTTCTTTATTTTCTTGATATTCTTAACAGATATGAAACAACAGTTGTCATAATTATATTCATGACATACTGTGAAATGTTTTGCATTAGCATAAGAAAAAAAAAGAAGAAAGATGACTCAGTCATATCAATACAAAATCAAAATCAGTGAACATTAATTCTAAACTGAATAATTATTCGATCGTTACTTTAAACCACAATAAAATTGAAAAAACTAAATATTTTATTTAGATATTCATTGTGGTAATGATAATATCGAAGTATAGAATTTATTATTATATTTTTTTATTGATTTTTACTTTTTTCTATAGTTTTTTTTGTAGTTGAGATTATATCTACTTCGATCGTTATTCATTCTTTTAGTTTGAATGATCACATTAGTTTTATCAATGTTAAATGTGAAAATATACACGATGATACATTGAAATTATACTAGTTTTCGACTGTTTCTTGTTTAAGATTGTAGAATATTGCTGAAAGATCGTTTGATTGAATGTGAGATTTTTCTCTCTTGTTTATTATAGAAAAAGAAAATTAAAACTTTTCGAATTCATGTATTATTTTACAGTGAATTGTGAAAATGTATTTTTTTTATGAAAATTAACCTTGATAATTTGTGATATAAAAATAATTTTTTTGTTATTCATTCAGAAATTTCATAATCAATAATTGTTAATTATTTTTATATTGTAATAAATTTAAATAGAAGAAGAATAAATGAGAATATTTTCTCATGTTATTATAAATGTTGATGTTTAATTTGAAATATATTGTCGATGATTATAGATGACCTTGTTTTTCTGCATTGAAAAAATAAAACGTAAATGTTTATTACTGTATTTTATATTTGATGTACTAAATGTCAACAACAAGGTGAGTGATAGATAAATATATTTTTTGTTTAATATGTTGCTGATGCACTGCGCATTAATGCATAATTGATTATTTTCAGGTGAGCAAAACGACTAAACATCAAATAAAAAGGGAATATTTTTTTTATTAAAAGTCAGTTTTTATAACGCCATTTTGATCTAATTGCAGTCCATTTCAATTATAATGACTGAAGAACATGTTTTTCTCGATTTTTTAGTTTAAAACTCAAATTTTCGACTATTTTTCGAACTTTTCGAGTCAGTAAATGGTAGATACAATACTAGTCCAATTGCTAATACACGTAATACATCGAAACATGATATCATCTGATGCTTAATCGTATAAGAAAAAATGCCAATAAATTAGATTAAAATCAATTATTAAAAACTCAATCTTAATCTATTAGAGTTATATAAAATCTGTATTTGAAAACTGAAAAATCAGATTCTCGTTGATTTATATTTAAAAACAAGACCCAATCTCAATTTGATTTTTACCTATTTTTTATATGGACTATTGATGTATCCATCTATAAAAACCATTGAATAAGAAATCATTTTGATATTATCTTTGACACAATAAATATCGATAGAATAAATAATTAATGAATCGTAATGAATATTCTCTGGTTAGCAGTAATATGGTTTTCATTATTAGTTCTGGATATAAAATTTCATAGGAAAATAAATATTTGATTTAGCTTGTAATAGAGATGATTTTCGTATACGTGTGTATTCACGCGTATTTATTGAGGGTGTGGATATCTCTATTTTTAACCTACACCCACACCCTCGACATAAAACCAAAACTAAAAAATCAAAAGTTTTTGATCGTGAAAGAATACGAGTATCGTGAAGAGTTAGAGAGTGAATTTGAATATTTGATTATGAATAATTCTAATCAAGTTATTTTCTATAGAAGCTATTACACACTAGGTCCGACCAACTTGATTTAATTGTTATCAGTGATTTCAGTGAAATTTGATCATAAACTTTTAGGATAAAAATATCATCAATCATCATGGATATTCCAACTTTGAAAATCACCAATGATGAATTGCAGAACTTTGTCAGTTTTGTATATAAACATGAACAACTGTTGAAAGAATTTGGAGCAATCAAAATTCAGCCTAATAGTGATTGTAAATTAGATCTGAAGAAACGTCGAAAAAACATAATTTCCTGCCCAGTTGCAGAACAGATTGCAAAGCTAAATGAAGATGAAAACATTTATTCTGTGCAAAAGGTCAATAACATGGATGAAATCATTCCACAAAATCTATTGGTAACAGATGAATCTAGTTTTCGGTCATCATTATCTTATTCGAATAACAATAACAACCGACGACTACTGAACATTTCATTCTTACCTAATACGAGTTTCTTTTGTCGAAAAACATCTCCTACATATTTTAATATTCATCGTTTGCCCAAGCAATCACTTCTTAAACTAGGTGGTAAGAAAGTGACAGATCAAATTGTTCCATGTGTAAGAAGAGCTCATGGATCTGGTGCTATTTTTCCATTGAGCTCTGCACAACAACGCCTCTGTTCAATTAATTATCATCATGAAGGTGGTGTTCACCATTGGTACATCATACCGACATGTGAGCGGGACGCTTTACAAAAAGCAATTGGTCATAAAGAAGTCCCTATTTGTCTTGACCATGGACAATTACTCGTCGATCCTTCTTTATTTGCGAAACATCATATTCGTTACCATCGAGTTACACAACGTCCGAAAGAATTTGTAGTGTTAGCAGCTGGTACCCTTGTACAAGGTTTTGCGGAAGGTGCTAGTTGGAGCGAGTCAATCAATTTTGCATTACCTGGTTGGATCGAAGAAGGTTGTGCAAGTGCTGCTACTTTACAGTGCCAATGCAATAATCCAAATAACTATTCACCAAATACAATTGATGTTACCATATTTACTCACGATCTTATCGAAAAATATATTAGTTCTCATCTCAATAATGGCACTGATGATAAACCAACGACTTTAGAAGGTTTATGATCTTGTTCATAATAGTTCTTTCTACTACTCTATGTGATTTTAGATATAAGTGACATCGATATGGGCACAGTATCAACACCACCTAGCATTGACAATAATTCACTGGATGGTATGTCGTTTTTTTTTATTCATCTGTTTGAATAATTAAGTATCAATCAGGTTGAAAAACAAGAATTAATTCTGAGTCGTTTATACTTCACAATTTTTTGGAGTATTGTCTTTGAGAATAACAATTCTGACTGTTACACTGATATATATATATATATATATATATATATATATATAGAGAGAGAGAGAGAGAATGAAAACTTTTTTTAAAATCATTTCAGTGATTAATTGGAGAACTTTCATCAATTCGATTATCAAAGAAAAATAAATTAATGACAATAGTGACATTACTTTTATATCTGAAACACTCGACAAAGTGCTAAAAGTGTTTATTGTCTAGATATCCATTTTTTGAATCAGTGATACCCATAACACTGAAGATTAGTAGAACAACTGTTTCGTTAAGTTTTGATCTTAATCTTTGCTTCCAACGTAGCCTCATACAGATTAGGCTGTGTACAAATTTCAGAATTTTCAACTAAAGTCTTCGCTAAATATAAATTTGTCAAGTATGAACATTATTTTGTAGACTTTTATAGAACATAAGGATATTTAAAAGATTTCATATCTCGTGAACATGAAATTTGAAGATTCTGAAATTTTGTATATGATCTAGTCTATACCGGATCGTATCAGAAACAACGATCTTAAACAAAATTCGACAAAATGTTGTTTCTAAGAATCTTGAGTGTTATATGTACAACTTATGCAAAGCTCGATATATTAGAGATAATGGCACGAGGACTCAAATTCTTTCATCTTTTTCATATTTATGATAAGAACACAATGTTGATAGAGAGCAGAACCTACTTTGGAATATCGAAAGTTTCATAAACATGAAATAATACTATTATTTTGTGATTTTGGTTCCGATTCTACAAAACTTATCTTTCGTCTCTACTTTAGTTAATACCGTGTTAGCAAGAAATGCAAAGCTCACCATACCGATCACTCGGCTCGCATCGTCTTCCTACGATTCATCGACTCCAGCGACCACAACATCTATAAGTTACTCATTTTTTGACAATAAAGACAAGAATATATGTCATGAGAACAACATTACTATGGACTATGAACTACTAGCGTAAGTAAAAGATATAAGAATACGCTACATGTCGAAAGATTAGCATAGGAGTAATTAAAAGCGTTACATACAAAAACCAGAGAGAATGACAATATTGTAGTCAACAGATTTCGAGTCTAATCTGAAAGAAAGCTGTGTACTCGTATGGCATAGAATAATCTAGAATATTATGATATAAATATCAGTTCATAGTCGATTGGGTAGACACCAAACTATTTTTAGAGTGTGGATGTGAATAACATTCTATGCTGATGCTTTATTCGCACTCACACTCCATGATCATCTTTTTGTTTTGGACAGAAAATAGTTATAAGTCTTCTTTTTATGTTGCTGCTTAAGATGAAGTATTCGATTATATGAAAATGGAGAGCTCTATTCGTAAAAAAAAAGAGCAAGAAAAGTGACTGAGTTTCTCTTAATTGAGAGTAACAAATCTCTTTTCGGCAGACATCAACTTTTCTAACGAGCAAGAAGCTTTTGAATTGCTTATTAATCGTCCAATACTCAAAATGATTTAACTGATAAATCCCTGACTACACCACTAATTCATTCGAAATCAAAAACGAATCGAACTCGCCTTAGAAATATTCTATTTGATTCACTCTCTAATGCACACAACTAAATAGTGGCTTTATAGAAGCCATTGTTTAGATGTTTTTCTAGAAAGTAGCTTTGATTATTCACTTTCTATGTAAGTTATCTTGATTTCGCAGAAGACAACCATCGAATTTCTATGACTTAGCAGATCAAGGACTTTCTGGATATTTAAAATTCAATGAATAAATAATAAAAGACTGAAAATGCTCTAGTTTATTCTTAAGTCGATTTTCTACCAAACAGCACTTAGCAAGAAACTTATAGTTTATTTTACTTAGTATAAGGAATTAAGGTATTAATAGAAGTATATGTAACGTTTTCTCGGTGCTATCACATAAAAATTTTATTTTGTTCTTTCCATGTTGCAGAGAAGGTACTTTTGGAGATGTAACGGAGTGGAATACATCTGATATGATATCCATCGATTCTTTTTTATTGGAATATGCGTCGGAGTTAAATACACAGAATCAACTTGATCAAACTAGCAAATCTACAAACATTCATGGAAACACTGGAAAAGATTATAGTATGGAAGCTGATTTTTTATTATTTGATGCTATGATGAATCTTGATATTCCAAATGCGACTACTTCTGTATCAACTCGTACACAAACCAATGAACATGTCGAAATATTAAGGGACAAATCAGGAACACAATCGGTAAGTGAGCTCATATTTTGCTGCTTCCAGTTAAAATATGATGATGGTTATAGATCAGAGATGAATATAATTCTCGCATGCGTCCATCCTCATTATTGTAAAACTCACTCTAGAAAAACTGAATTTTGAGGATGTGGATGGATGTACATGTATGTGTTCTTTTAACATCTTCTTACATTCACACCCTCAAGAATATTAGATATGCAAAGTTCCTTCTGAATCTAATTAGAATTCAAAGAAGAAAAAAGTTTTTCACTTTCAAATTGAAATAACGTAACAAATAAGATAAATCAATGCTTACCTGCTTATAACCTGGATGAAAACGAGAGGAGTACGAAGAATTTAAGTATATATGTGTATTTATAATAGGTTTCGAGCATTTATATAGGTATGGAGTATACGAGAAAGAGAAAGAGAAAAGAAAGAATAATGAGAAAGGCATAACAAGAACGAAGTATGACGACATGTATTGGCACGGCTAATAACAATATATTTGTTTATATAATATTGCCTTTCTGTATGGATGCTGTTATTTCTCCTAAACTTTTGTTTTCACCTCAAATTTAATTCGAATAATTAATTGTTCTTTGTATTTCTTTTTCTTTCAGTCACTTTCATCAATAAGTACAAAGTCTTCAATGACTTATATGCTTAGATCTATTTCCTTGTATAAGTTGAATTTTTGAACATAAACGAAATCTGAGAGGATGCAATACCGATTATCAATTATCTGTTATAATTATTGGTCGTAAGGTCAAGTGACATTTGTTACCCTACAGAAAATCGATCATCTGATAGAACGACATATTCTTTCAATCAATGCATATGCATGGCTACTATACAGCAAGAACATATAGCGAGATCGAGACTAAACAAGATCTTTCTAGCGGAACATATCTCGACACTGTGGTACACACGAGAAGACGCACATGTTATGCTTCACTGCTTGAAGATAGCAGCTTGAGCTTAGTATACATGGAATGATTGAGCAAGACGTTGTCGTTTTCACACTGAGACATTTAGGGCACTATAAGAACCATGAGATTTGTTTGAGAGTAAAATTTCACATCGAAACTCTGAAATTTATTTCTCTCGTAAATCACTTGTCATAGATGGTAAATCCATGTTTATGAGCAAAAGTATCTACACAAACGCTTTTAGTTACTTTAAATCGTTTTCCTGTTTGTCACATTACATTTCAAATCTATTTAGAATGATCCGCCGACATGTTCATTGGATATAAGCGCAACAACTATTAATGAACGGAAGGATCATATGAAGAAAAGAACATTCAAGCAAGCAAAAAACCAGTATAAGGAACTCTACGTGTCAAGATTAAGAAATGATGTAAACATCAGCGATATACGGCGCCATTTCATTGGTTGTACAAATATCAAAATAAAGCGACATCGTACAATGACACATCTCAAGTATACCATATACATACTATTTACTAAAATACTTATACCATATCTTTTTCCTAGTTATGCTATTGTTTGTCATCGCACATCTAAAGAAGCTGAATGCAATCTTCAACGTCCTGCTAATTACCGTCTTTTTGGCTCTGAATATCGTGTCGAGTATGCCCGTGATAATTCAACTCACTCGAACAATTATCACAACTTTGACAAAAATAAAGTTGTGGTCAGTCGAATACCAGAAAATGTCAGTGAGAACAAGTTGCGTCGTTTATTCACTAATTGTGAAGTACTGCGATATCAGCCAGCACGTACAGTCCGCTCGAAAGCAATGACGACGCATACGAAGCGCAATAACAAAGTATTATTCGGGTATGAGCACTTAGTTTCATAGACTTATTATGCACAGAATCGATCCTACTTTCATCCGGGAGAGTAATATAAGTTGATGACCGATGTCATTTATGAAACTCTTTTGTTATTCATGGGTGAAACGACCCGAATTCATCTGCAAAATTCTCATAAAAGGAAAGAAAACAAATCAAAAATAAGTTGTTTAATTTTAATCTACATCTATTTCGTAGTTTCAGTTGCTAATGACTAAAGTTTAAAATTGTACGAATATATAGACAGATATATACTGGATCTTAACGTGTTATCATGCCATCCTCTCTGATAAATAATTCTTTAGTATTCAGTTGAAATATACGTATAGATCCTAACGAAAAGTATCATCATAGAACCACGTTATAATGATCTTATAAGATGTCGTCATCACATAAATCCTAACGTTTTCTTCTTTCTTTTTTGTAGGTATGCTTTTATTCGTTACAGCGATGAACAGGAAGCAGCTAGTGTGGTAGATCAAGCCGAAAAATACAAGATTAATGGTCAACCACTATCTGTCTCTTTGTATTCTAATAAAAACTGATCATCTACAAGAAGAAGAAAATTTGTTTCTTGATTAATGATCCATTGTTTTAGAAGTTGTAATAAACTATTAAATGACAGATACTTTTTGTTTTTTTCTTTCGACCGAAGAGAAGACTATTTGAAGTAAACAATCGTTTTAGTACATATGTATGTCTGCTTGCTCGCATATATATTCAGGTATCGATGTCATTTTCAGGTTGAACATCTGGGTAATGTTGAGCAAGATCTAACGAGTGGACCGTGGGTGTGGGTGTGACCATGGTTGTCATTATCTTTGTTTTCAATCCGTACCCACACCCACACCCACCCTTTTTTTAGGAAAAGTCTAATAATTATTGAATAAAATGAAACATTTATTTTTAAATTAATTAAGTGATATATTAAATTCGTTTTTTTATAGCAGATGCTGATTTTCTTATTTATATTAAATATATCATATGCGATGATTGATAATTATCGACGAAAATAAGATTATGTAATTTTCATTGTTCTTCTGGTAAATGTAATAAAATAATCGATAAATCGACACCTGGCGTATGATTATGAGGAATCAATGTTATTTGAGTTAGTACAAGATAAAAAAATTTAAATACAAAAATACATGTGATAATAAGTAAAATAATTGTTGACTGAATACTATTAGACATACAATGTCATTAACTAGTTTCAGAGTAATATCAATAATTGGTAATTGTTGTCGAAAAGATAAGTTTGGTTCTAACTGTCTTCATATATATTTTGAAAAACTCGTGTTCCGGCACTTTTTATCAACACATTTCATTTCAAAAATGAAATAAAATCGATGATTCAGTATTCTCAAGATTATTCTCACTTATATAGACTAACTTAATAAAATGTTCTTTTAATTTTCCAAATAACCTTTTGTAGTTCTCAGTTATGTTTTTATTTATTTTTGTGCAAGTATTTTTATTATAGACAATTATACACCGTTCTCAATTCTTTAAATACATTTAAATTATTAATTCAATACGATATGTCGAAGAATTTTATTGCAAAATATTTTACATTGATTAGAGATGTATATTTAACAGATATGTAAAAATATTAGTCGAACTATTTCAGAAATGATACTAATCTCTACAATAGCTATCAAGCAAATAGAACAGTTTTTTATGGTGAATTTTACATCAACTATCTGAATACACTCACATATACAAGGAGGCATAATTATAACCTAAATCTGTCGATTTGCTAACAGTTAAACAATCTTCATGCAGTGAAAAACAATAAAAACACAAGCAGATAAATTGCATTCAACTGCCAATTTTCGATCGGTGTTCAAGATACGAATATTTCTTTAATTTCGCTTAAAATATATTCTTCATTTACTGACAGTCAAACATTAAGAATTATCTCGATACTTGAAAGTATTTTTCTCTATTATAAAAAATATATTTTAACTGAAATATGTTATATAGTATGATGTTTCAAATAATTCAATAAATAGAAAGATAACCATTAGCTTTATTAATTATTAAATAAAGATTAACACAAGTTTCAAGTGAGTTTTTATTGCAAAAAGAAAACTTTTTCTTTTGAACACGAAGAATATTTTATCTTTAAATAGCTGATTAAAGATATTTCGTCGTATTACCATAGTTTATTGTATGATGATGACGACATTCGTATTTTTTTATCCTTCTACTTTTTTGTGTATATTTTTTTGTTGTTTTTGTATAACTAACATCACTCATTGCAATATTTACTTCGTTTACCAATCAGATTAATCTTCTATTCTTTTTTAATGGTATACTAGTTGTTAATAGTTAAGTAAGTATTCGCTCAAGAACAAATTGTAATAAATGTAGTTCATGAAAAAGAATGCATGTAAAATACAATAATTAATAACTATCAAAAGAAGATCATTATCAATATGGATTTTTTGAAATGACAGAATATATTGATAGTATATATCGTTTAATTTTGTAGATGTCTAGCGTCTGATTGTTGTTTTGTATATTCAAATCTATTTTTTATCATTTGCTTCGGTCTGTTGCTCATACACGATAGAGACGATCGTTATAATACGTTAATAATACTTCTGTTCGAATCTGAAATGGATTCGAATAAATTGCCAACATTCAATTTAAAGTTCATCAGTATGCAAAATTTTGTATTGCAGATGCTCTTGGGCATACAACTATAATTCTCTCCTATATCGATTGATCCATTATCTAGTTCTTTATTGTATTGGTTAAGTAAAATACAACAGATTAGTAGCTTACTGAAAGAAAAGAAGAGTTTTTAACTGTTTTAAAGTTCGTTAATTTAACAAAGATAATTATCTCCTTTTTCAGCCAACAAAATTTTAGAGAAGAATTATATGTACACGCATGTCAGAGAGTATAGATGACGATAAAAAAGAGAAGCATGCGTGTACACGTCATCATATTGTTGGTGATAAATATACGAAGTAACTCAGTACGTTTGAATTATTATGTATAAAATATATTGACGACAATAAACATATGTAATCTGTCAAGTTGAAAACAATACATTCAGCTAAAATAACGAAATAAAAAAACATGATATAAATCTGTATTATTGACGTTGATAATAGACATATGCATCTATAATGAACAATTACTTTCCCTTTATATACAAGATATCTGCTTTACATTCAAATCAAATTTACTTTTATGTTTGTTGCTTTTTATAATCACATTTAGATATCTTTGTCAATAAGTATTTGCTGTAAGTACTGCAAACAAGTCTATATGTTAACCATCTCATTAAAATAAAATGAACAGTGATGATACAAGTTATTTGATAATACTGGCAAAAGAAATTCGATATTTATTTAGAAATCTGTGAAACTTAAATTTTGCCCATAGATTCAACTTGATATAGCTGATAAAACCTCATATGAGTTGTATTTCATGTGATTTTTATTCGAATTTAACACCGTGTCACTACGATTTTGGTCTATATCAAGGTATTGACTAAGACATCGAATTTTATTGAGGTGATGTTAAATTTAAATGAAAGTCTCCAAGAACAAAATTCACTCGAGATTTCATTAGTTATACAAAGTCTGATCGATAAATCAAATATGATTTTCGAAGCTTTTCATTATTTTTTTAGTGTTTACTGATAAGAAAATATTTTTATATATCTTTTGGATTTATTTCAAATCATAGTCTCACGTTAAACAAATACAGAATGACGTCCCGCCATGATAATAACAAGTCAGAAAATGATGTCAAGAAAAAGGAATCAAATAATCGTAATAATAAAGATACATCGAGTCACATTTCAGTTGAGAGTAATAACATTTCAATAATATCTAGTAAAAAACATCGATTTACCTTTTTATCAAGAATTCCGTTAGTATCATTTTGTTATTTACTGAGAGAACGAAAGTGAAAATGTTTGTTTGTTGAATAGTTTATTAAGAAAGCCGTCAAAACCATCGAAGAATACATCAAATCATCGATTAAAATTATTCGAAATGTGTAAGATGAGTTGTATTAGGTATAAAATCTGGCTGATTAGAACTATTATCTAGAATTTCCTTATACCATGAATATGTTATTCGATTTATTATTAAAAAATAAAACAAATCTTTGAATTATTCACAAATTTATATGAGATTTTAACTGATCTATTATTCATGTTTTTTGTTTATATAAGAATGATTGGTGATATTTCTATTAATCGATGTTTATGCCAATAAATATAATATTATCTTTCATTTCAAATTATTTTTTTATTAGATAGAAATGCAGTTTAATGAAAGTTTTAACGTACTAGATTTCTGGTTTATGATTTCGTATCTTGTTATACTTAATTGTATTTGTTATAATTTTTACTGATGACGAACGATTTCACCAACTTGTACGAAGTCGAAAATTCTAAAATTATATTGTTATTTTCTTTTAATATATAAAAATTTTCATTAAACTGATCGTTAAACTGCACTTCTATTCATTTTTTACTTTATGTTGTTACTATCAAGTTATCTATTTTTTAATGTTTTTTTTATTGATAAATAAAAGAGAAGAAATTAACTTTATATTTGTACGTAGAAAAGTTCTTAAATAAGATAAAGATTAATAAGAAATATTACTCAGATTTTAATTATTGTTTCATAATCAACAAAAACACTATAATTTGTCTCATAAATTCTACTATGATATATTTTTTAAACTTTATACTATCTTTGAAAATCCTATTGTTAATAATAATGATTTTAATTCTTCATACAAATCAAATATGATGACTCGAATTTTTTTTCTTCATTTATTCATTTGAAACAATTGCATTTCATGTTCATGTTTTGTGTTGAAAATAGGATACATTACAGATCAGATCAAAGAGATTATATCAAAGTATGTGAAGAATATGTAATAATTTTTTATGGCAAGATAATAACAATAATAAAAGACTAATTAATGGTTTAGATTTAGACAATTTATCTATAAAGTTAGATGTAATTGAATGCAAAGCCAATTTTATACATATTAGAAAAAAAAGATCGTTAGTAAAAAAACACTTGTATGGCTATAGATGTAAAAGTATTTATTTGTTTGTTAATGCAGTAGTTGAATAATAATTATTGTACGTTATTTTGAGCATTTAACATTGTATAGTAAATTCCACCTTTTTGTATTAGTTCTGTATGAGTACCACTTTCTACTATACGACCCATTTCAACTACATGTATTAGATCACATGAACGTATTGTTGAAAGACGATGTGCAATAATAATTGATGTTCGATTTGGATCTTCTATTTGAGCTTGATCAAGAGTTTCTTGTATTATCTGCAAATTAAAAATGTTAATTATATATAGAAAAGAAAAAGAAATTTACTTGTTCATTGTATGGATCCATAGCACTTGTAGCTTCATCCAATAATAATATTTTAGGTTGACGAATAAGAACTCGAGCAATAGCAATACGTTGTTTTTCACCACCTGATAAAAAACTGCCTTTTACTCCAACTTTTGTATCATAACCCTATAACAATATAAGATTATATTACTAGATAATTTAATATTAATCTAACTTGAGGTAATTGTTGAATAAATTGATGAATATTAGCTTTGGTTGCAGCAAGAACAATCTCATCCATTGGTATATTTTCTAATCCATAAGCGATATTTTCAGCAATTGTTAAATCAAATAAAACTGGTTCTTGACTAACAACACCCAAACGAGAACGAAGCCATTGAAGATTTAATTTTCGAATATCAACACCATCAAGAAGCTAGTTTATATTAATATCGTTTATATAAGTAATTGAATTATAAATATAGAAAATCGATACTTACCAATTGTCCATGTGTAACATCATAAAACCGTTCTAATAATTGAACTATGGTTGATTTTCCACATCCCGATGCACCTAAAACGATTATATTATATGATTAATAAACTAGAAAATATAATTTATTTTGCACATACCAACAAGAGCTATACGTTGACCTGATTTAATAGATAATTGAAGTTTATTAAGAACAAGAACTGTTGGACGAGTTGGATAAATAAATTTAACTTGATTAAATTCTGTTTCTCCACTAAAGTTAGTCTAAACAATTCAAGATTGAGATATATAGAACTGAAAGACAATAGTTTTTTTGTTTTTTCTTTTACTAATTCTTGTCCTTTATTTGATCCATTATCAATAGTTGGTATTCGATCAAATAGATCAAAAAATGCGTGAGCAGCAGCAAATGATGCACCCATACGTGGTGCTCTGAAATGAAAATAATAAAAACAAAACATAAATTATATATCTTACAACATTCCAACAAATTTTATTGATTCTAATGTGAACATTCCAAAAGCAGAGATCCTACAAAAACAAAAAAGATAATAAAAGTTAATTTATAGATTATCAAAATTATTGTTTTAGTTACATAACAACATTGCTCACGTCTAGTTCATTGTTTTCAACAAGAATCAAAGCACGCCAATACAAAAATCCTAAAGTTAACGGACGCATCGCCCAGTACAACCCATATACTGTTGCATATAGTGCGTCAGGCCTCCAAGACATTCTATACAAAAGAAAATTTATTGAAGATTGAAGTGAATATCTCTGAAAGAAAAAGAGGGTTATATTCGATTTTATTAGTCCATTATCGATATAGAAGAATATATTTTTGACAAAGTTAATCAAAATTTTCAAAACAACTCGGGCTTTTTTTATTACTTTCGAATTATTTAGATCTCAATTGAGATCTGCTATAACAGGAAAATAAACTGACTACAATCAAAGCAACTATATTATCAAATTTCGACTTTACTATTGTTTTTTCAGTTCGTTTTTACGATTTTTCATTACTATGCAAAAAAGGCTCTTTTTCAAATATACATATATGGATACTATGCAAAAGACGAACCCTAATACTTGATCAAGCATATTCGTATATTGTCGTGAAACTTCATTTTCTATTGATAATTGTTTTACTGTGCGCATATTGGTAATAACTTCAACAGCAAGCTAAAGAAGACAAAACATAAAATGAATATTTAATAATCATTTGATCAAATAATGTATAATAACGTAATTCTACTACACATTAAAAGATTAGGGATAACAAGATGACTTTACCGTGCTAGCTTGAGAGTAAATGAGATCAGATTGTGTTTTTAACCTTGAACTCAACCGTATTTGAATAATGCTGATGATCAGTAGGGTAGCGACAGAAATAGCTACGATTATTGTTAATTGCCAGTTGTAAAAAAAGCCAAATAAGCAACCAAAAACAAATAACGATAAAGTTTCACAAATAACACCTAATCTTGTACCAGCCATGTCTTCAATGGCAGCTGCATTAGAAGAGAGTTGGTTACATATAGCACCAGAACTGTTTTCAGGTCGATCAAAATAAGCAACTTCTTGACGAAGAAAACATGCAAAAGCTTTTGAACGAATGCGACTAACTAATTTCGCTCCTGCAATTCCAAAAGTCACAAACTGTAAACGAACATGAAAAAACTTATTGATATAGTTTAGTAATAATATTGTTACTTGAAAAAAACGAAGAATCATAAAAGCAGCGCCGAAAAGAAGAAACAAACCACTTGTAATCAACACTCGACGACGTATATCAGTATGTTTACAATCATTAAAATCCTAAATAAAAGAAAAATTTGACAGAAAAAGACACATCTTTTATCTTTTGTTAGAGTATTCATACGAATAAAATCACTTACATTGATTATTTTTACGAATAGAAGCGAGAACACTGGTCCACGTAATCCACCAAGTATGCATACTACACAACCAATCATGATAAATTTCCATTCAGGGCTATTCATCTTCATGAGTCTAAGAAAGACATATTTTCCTCTTATTGCTATCGAAGCTCTCTAAAAATTTATACATTAATAATGACTTTTTAAAGTTGTTAGATATTTATTATTACCCGATTTGCATCAATTGCTTCGCTCTCACTCAATTTACGAACACGTTCCACTATTCCAAAAAGACAAAACAGAATAAAATCAAGTTCATAAAATATAATAATTATTAATATTAAAATAGTAACATACATAGTTGTTCTTCATCTTCAGCTACTGCTTTTGCCATATTCATTAAGCCATCTTGTGTACCAATCGTTTTTTCAGATTGTTGCATTTTGATCATTGTTTGATATTTACCTCCTTCTTTTGCCAATAATGTTTCATGTGTACCTTCTTCAATTACACTTCCTTTATCTAATACATAGATGTAATCAGCATTTTGAATCGTAGTTAAACGATGAGCAATAACTATAGTTGTACGATCTACACATTATTATTATAATCTAATCAATAGTAATAAAATAATTCTTACTTTTGCATGCTCGATCAAGTGCTTCTTGAACAATTCTTTCACTAACATTATCAAGTGCACTTGTTGCTTCATCTAACAAAAGAACGGTGGGTTGTTTGACAAGTGCACGAGCTAATGCAATACGTTGTTTTTCACCACCACTCAATTGTATACCACGTTCACCAACAAGTGTCTCATATTTCTATAAATATAAATAATAATATATATAGATAAAAAGAACTAATTAAACACAAACATTTGGTAATTTCATAATGAATTTATGTGCATTAGCTTGTTCTGCTGCTTGTTCAATCTCTGCACGTGTTGCATTCAATTTACCATAACGAATATTTTCATAAATACTTATTCCAAATAGAATCTATTTCAATATAAAAATTCAATAGAGACTAAAACAAAAATTAAAAAAATTTACAGGTTCTTGACTAACAACTCCAATACTTTGACGAATTTCTTTGATTTTATAATCTGTAATTGTTTGACCACCAATCACTATTCTACCTGAAGAAGCTTCATAGTAGCGAAGAAGAAGTGATACACATGTACTTTTTCCTATCCATGAATTTAAATATTAAAATGATACGATTGTTTTAAAAAGAAAAGATTTACCACAACCACTTGAACCTACAAGAGCAGTTGTTTGATTAGCACGAGCAATCAATTTAAGATTATTCAAAACTGTTGCATTTTCTCTAGATGGATAAGAAAAACTAACATTATCAAATTCAATATCACCATTGATAGTAGAAATAGATCTTTTATCAGATGTTTTATCTTGAAATATTTCTTTTTCATTAATATTTTCATCATGTGCCTATATCATAAAATAAATTAAAAAATATTATTGTCAAGGTTCAGTTTCGACTATTCAATCGATTTTACCTCGTCAATAAGTCGAAAGACGGATACTGCTGCACCTTGAGCTTCCGCAATTGATTGGAAGAAAGGTCCAATTGTATTAAGAAGATTTAAAGATTGGGCAAATATAATTACAACCTAAACAAAAGTTCGTTTTTCAGTTACTTTCTTGCATATTAATGTCATAGCTCACTTACAACAAGAATCTCACTAATGGTCAGTGTACGATGATTTCCATGAGACATAAGAATCGAACCAAAAGTGAAACCAAATGAATAAACTGCAAAGCTTATAAAAGATAACCAACCCATAAAAGTACCAAATGCAGTATCTTTGCGAACAGTATACCATTCATTCAATTTTAGTTCTTTTTCATATCTAGATAAAGATAAATATGACAGTAAAATAATATACAATAATCTATAATTCTATATTTATTTATTTCTTTACTGTTTTTGTTGGCAATTACTTCCATTGAATGAAAGAACAGTTCTTAATGAACTAAATACTTCTTGAGCGATTTGTCCAGCTTTTGAATATGTACTTAATTGTTCTTTTGTTTCTTTTTTAATGATCTGTAATTATTGATAAAATTTTAGCGAATTAAATAATAATTTTTACCTTAGCAAACATTAATGAACTACCAATAATAATTGGAATTATACAAAACATAATTAAAGACAATTGCCAATTGAGAATAAAAGATATGATTATACTGAGAATCATCATTTGAATAAGTCCAAGTACTGTTAAGAATTCAAAACCTATCCCGTTTTTGATCTTTTCAATATTGCTGTAAAGAAAATTGATCATATATAATTGTTTGTTATAAATTTATTATATTTACTTACGTAAAAAGCTTCGAATTGTATTGAGTAGTTTGGTCTGCATCCAAATATGTCATGTTCTAACAAAATGAAAGAGAAACAATACATTATTTTATCTTAAATCATAATTTAACAAGTGTATTGAAAATTATGAGTTCATCATTGTCATTATCATATTCTTTAATGTTATTTTCTAATTAGCTAATTAAAACTATTTCTAAATTGTACCAATAATAAAATTCTTTATTTTTGTTACGGTAAAATTACCTTCGACATGATGTTTGATATTGCTTCGTATTATCATTCTTGTCTCTTTTATATTTTATATCGATTATTTTCGTAATTTAATTGATACATGAACGATGTTTCTAGAATTATTAGTTTGTTTATTAGTGAAATATTCAAAAAAAAGAAAATCAGAAATCGAGATCAAAATGATCTACTTTATTTTATTTTATGTGTGACACGAAGCAAGAGAAATAAATCGAATAAACTGTATTTTAACTAATTTCATCGTTGATAATCACTTATATCTGCACTAAATTTAAGTTATTTAGTAGAAATTTGATACTATTCAATTTTGACTTATGATCACGAATTATTAAGTTTTTTTTATAGATGTAAAAAAATATTTTTACTTACACGTTGAATAAGTGATTGAAAGAGTAAAATACTTATACGAGATGTTTGTCGTTTCGCAGCAACTGTCCAACACATATATTCAAGAGAAGCACATAGGAACATAAGAATACTAAAACCTATATTGATACAAAGAAAAAACAAATCGTTTGTTTTTTTTTAATTTAAATTATCATATTCAATAGACTTACCGAAGAACCAATAAACTAAATGCATAACATTGTCATGAAATAAAGGTGTTAATGGAAATAATGTAGATGAGATAGTTTTATTATCATAATGGCATAGTCTACGAATGAAAAATTTGAAAAGATTCAGAATAAGAATATTTTTCAATAAATTACGTATGTAATCGATCATAATTTAATGGATTAAGATCAATACCAAGAGGACATACAGTATTATTGATAATTGTAGATGCAAAATTTTGATATTGATTATCACAATCAACAGCAAATGATGCAGTGGCAAATAATCCCGTGATTCGACCAAAAAGAATTACATTTGCGAGACCACAAACTCCATGCCCCAATATGAGAAACAGAGCAATAATTATAAGAAGAATATCAATACGATCAGCAAATCGAAACTATGATTAAATGAAATGAATTAATTCATATATATATATATTAAAAAGAAAAACAACATGCTTTCAACGTAGTATATTTTATGTTTGAATACACTTACCAATTGAAAAATACTGACTGGAATATCTTTATTCGTATGTTTGATCTCATCATTTAACTTTTTATTCCTAGCATTAGTCTTTTGCCGATTGAAATATTGACGCCAATCGAAAGAACTATAAATAATGATGAGTTCTTATGTGTTTATCAATATTATATTTTTTTTAAAATCATACCTTTTGTTTTCATTGTCGCTATCATTATCATTAAGTAATTTGTTATGTTTCTTTAATAGTGGTTCCTTATCATCCATATTCTCCTTTTTCTTTTCAAATATAAATTACTAAGAGAGGTAAAATGTATTATGCGTCTATATGTATTATTATGAGGAATGATTGAATACTGTTTGCATCACTGACTTTTCGTCCTTCATCTATCTTAAACGTTTTCTTACATATTGTAAAAAAACGTGGGCAACACTATGTAAACGGCAAAAACTTCAGATATGTTTTTTCATAGACGTAAATCTAATTAATATTTTCTTCTTACCTATCGCGTAGGAGTAATATGTTATCATTAAAAACTCAGAGATAGTAAATTTAATGACTGATGAAGACTAAAAATAATTGAGAATATTATATGTAAAATGTCGTTCAAATCTAATTCTAAAGCATTTATAGACAAAAAAAAATAACAAATAAATTGTCGATTACTTTTAATCTCTATACAACCATGAAGCTTTAAGTTAAAGTTTTATTAACGGTAAAAAAAACAATAAAATAAATTAAAGAGGTATGAGAAGTCAAAATCATCAATCCAGTTCTACAATAAAACTTATATATATATATATTTATATCAGATAGAACTTTATTTTAAGATTATCATTCATTTGCAAATAGTTCCATAATACCAATGATAGTTTCTATAAGACTAGATATAATATTCATTAATAATATAATTTTTTATTTTTCATACTTTTTCTTTCTTTATTTATTTAAAAACAAGTTAGCTTTCGAAATGCACTGCATTTCTTCATTAGAAATTTTTTTACTATACCTAACATTCGACATATTTATATATACATTTTATAAAGTGACATTGTCTTTCGCTTGTTAAACATTAAATAATGATAGAGGAGACAAGACGGTAAGAGTGACTAAGTCGGGTTTCAACCCTTGCTTATATTACTATGAGACGTTTAACAAAGAAAAAGAACAAAGACAATGTCTCTTTATAAAATGTATATATAAATGTATAAAATGTTGTGTACTGTAGAAAAATATTTGATAAATAAATGCAGTGCATTTCGAAAGATAACTTGTTTTTACTAATAAAGAAAGAAAGAATATGGAGAATAAATGTCAATTAATCTTCGTCAACCGACAAGAATAATAAGATGATTTTATTTACAAACCAATATTATACATGAATAATTCTTTCAATCTTCATTATAATATCTAGTTAAGAATATACTTATTGAATAAAAAACTAAAATTTATAATATATATTTTATACTATCGTTTATGTTAAAGAAATCCATTTATAGATTGGTTAGAATTTATGAATCTTTAAAATAACGAATTTCTTAAACATACTACAAAAAATATCATATTAGATATTTTTTAAATGAATGAATGAAATCTTTTTGTTTGGAAAAAATTAGAAAAAAATAATGACTTTATATTTGTCTGACGCCTGATTTAATTCTGTTCGTTAGATTTTTATCAAGTAACTTGTTGTATTTAGATGATAAAAATAAAGAGACTGATTTCTTTCTTTTGATTTTTCTATTAGAATCGAATGGAAGAGGTAAATGGAAAATATCGAATAATATATATGATTTAATGATTAAAATCAAACGTTTCGACGACTGTATCCTATATTCTTCTATCAACGAGAAATTGTATGACCTCAAGCAGAAATGCGCCAATCACATGGAGATAGAACGAAAATTTTTTTTTATAAACACATTGCTTTCATTAAAGTACATCCCTACAACCTATACAAAGAAAATTTTGCGAAATAATCACGAAATAATCGATTTATGTGTACTTATTACTATTAAAATTATTGATTAAAATCGTATGAAAATAATCGATTAATTCTTGACTGTCTCGCAAAATTTTCTTTGTATTGGAAAAACACACAAAATAATAACACAGAATTTTTCAATCCATATTTTTATTCATTCATAGACGTTTAGAAGAACTCGAGAGAAAAATCTATTGAAGTATATGTATATATCTATATAAAAATTATTTTTATTCTTTCTTTTCATTTCTCCTTGATATGTATGACTCGAGGGTGAAGTAAAACAAATTTCCTTATTGACTGTTTCAGTTGTAAATGTTATGAGTTGCTCATTGATATAATCATATTTAATACTTTACAATCGTATAAGAAATATGATAGAGAATCTTTGATTTATTATAAACGTGTTTGATGTATGAAAGATGATATTTGTTTTCTTAAAGGTTATCATCTATTTTTTGTTTATTTGCTGATGAGTGAATAATTATATATTATTGAACTTTAGAAGAATATATCAATTAAAACGTTATTTATTTCAGCAAAAATAAATAAGATAATCACACTATTAAGAATAATCTCAAGCGACAAAATTAATAAAACGAAACTTTTGAATAGAAATATAAGGTAAAATCAATGTTTTTCTTGTACTCATACTGACTTTTATTTTAGTTTATTAGTTAATTGAAAAAGAAATCGACGACTGATCCTAAGAATTAGGACGAATATGAATAAATTGTGAGTATGAATGAGGCCCTAGACAACAAGGTGACTAAAAGAGTGCAGTGGATGATCTAGCGATTTCTTCGTGATAAGTTCAAGTGAGATCGCTCTCCGTCGTGGCAAACATTCATTAATATAAATATCAAAATTAATCTTTCTTTGTAATTCTATCGCTTATTTTGTTGCATAATACTCTGTACTAAAAATATATAATTCTTGACAAGTGACCTGATGGAATACAGAATATTTATTTCTAAACTTAATTATCTTTTATATTTATAAATCATTATATTATATTAAATAAATATATATAATTTAAATTCGTAATCTTCTCGACAATAAGTAAAAATAGAAAAACTATACAACATTCTAATTCGTAATTAGTTTTTAGATTTTATTTGACCTAGTCTACATTTACTTTGGCTTTGATTCATTGAAGCTATCTTTTTTTTTTGAATAAATCTTTGTCATATAATGATATTAATATGAATATTTTTTTAATTAAGAAATGATATTATACATTAAAGAATAACAATTATCAATCCATTTTTATGTCAAAGACTGAGAGATAACATATGTATCATTTTCAATAAAGTTTATAGTCATTCTATTTCTCACCTATGATCAAGTACAGATCTACGACAAGCAGTGCCATCGTGTACCATTAATTCTGCATGTGTACCACTTTCCAGTAATCGTCCATTAGGATCAAGAACACAAATAAGATCACATGATTGAATAGTAGAAAGACGGTGTGCAGCAATAATAACAGTTCGCGATAGATTATCTTGCCGTGCAGCATTCAACGATTCTTCAACAAGCTGAAAAAGATTAGAAATAACATGGAGATTTTCGACTATCAATTTTTTTCTACTTATTCAGTAGTATCAAATTCCTCAACTCTCGATCATGAATTACATTATTAAGTTTCAACAAGATAGAAATAATAGAATCAAATATCGTATAAGATCTAATATTTTGTCAATTTGTATTTTATAAGAAATAGACAAACAAATTTTATTTACCTTTTCATTATGTACATCCAACGCACTCGTTGCTTCATCAAGTAATCAAATTTTTGGATTACGAAAAAGAGCTTGTGCAATAGCAATACGTTGTTTTTGACCTCCAGATAAGAACGAAGTTGAGGGCGGGTGTGGGTGGAGAGAAGAGTATCATCTACACTCACCGCCACACCCATATCTACCCTTGAGAAAGATAAATTCAAAGATTTATACAAAACAAGAAAAACTGAGAAAAATCTGTTAGTAATAGTTTGTTCTCGTTATCAAAAATGTCATAAGAATAGATGTGAGAATTGTGAACTATAATCAATTTATTTTATTTATAGAAACATTATTTTTCATAAGAAATTAATAAATAATAAGAATTTGAGTTTTTCTAATATTCGATAGAGTTGTTTATAAATTATTTTTGAGAGAACTCATTTGTTGATTATTGTAAAAAAAATAGACAAACGGTTCATTTTTACTTGATATTCGAGCTGTTGGGAGACATAATCTGTACTTAAGTCGTTTGTATCATTTCATTCATAATGAAAATGAAGAAAGTGTGTGACTAGTTCAGTGTTATGATCATAGCATCAAATAGTGTATTAGTTTTCTAGAATTATTTTTATCTCTTTATTTTTAATATAGTAGATGTAAGCATGAGTTGATATCATATTCCTTTGTCATTTTTATAGCTATGCATTTATATTCTCAATAAAGAAAATAATGAACAAGACAAATAATTTATTAGTAAACTCTAGTAGAGAACACGATGATAGATTATAACACTTTCAATTACTAATAGGAATGAATCGATTTATTCACACATTCCATTTTTTATGAATTATGATTATTTAAGTCATCATTTCGTAAAGTCGAAAAAGTTTTCTTTGATGAAGTCAATATTTTATGTATGTAATCTTTTTTTCAAATGAATATTCCAACCATCCTTTATTAGTTTTTGAATAATTGTATATTTATGTTTATGAATCAACGATGTAATATAATTATTGATTATAATTTTTATATCAATTTTTGCAAATTGTATACAATATTCATAGAGTGTCAAGTATGGCCAATCGATATGACGTTTAGTTAAATCAGCTCCGTTTTTTAGCAATATCTCCACAGCCCAAAATATATTATAATGAATTGCTGTGACTAGTGGTGTACCCAGTTCTCCATCAACATCTATATTAAATTTATATCTAATCAGTTCTCTTGTCAGTTGTTTATTATTTAATTTGATACATTCATGAAGTACAGTATCATTATTATCAAACTGAATCTTCTCAATAGTTGTATCAGCTGTTAAACATAGACTCCCTAGTTGATAATAATTCCCGCATCGACAACATTCCTAATTGAAAAAAAATTTAAAGAACAATAAAAAAGAAAAATATCATTTTCTTATTACTTTCAAAGCTTGTTTAAATATTAACATTCTATATGGTGATGTTTGTATTGTTGTCCTTATATATTTTCTTACGCGATCATAATCTATTTGTTGCTGTTTATGATTTGTATATTTAGGTGCACAAAATACATAAAAATCAGGTATATTTATTTTTGATATATTATTAAGAGAAAATGTTGAACTTGTTTCAAAAGATAATAATCCACTATCTCTTAAATAAGCATTTGTATCTAAAAAAATCAACAAATTGCAATAATACATATTATTTTAACGAATATTCTTCTTTCGTTTACGAGTTTTATTTCGATTGCTTGGTTTTCGATTAGGAAATTCTTGTTGACATCTATTCGCTGCTTCAGAATATAAATAAAATTGTATTTTTAGACGTCGTGCTAATTTCGTACGAATAGTACCATTAAATAGAGTTGATGCTGATACTAATTCATTTTTTTCTAAAGATAGTGGTGTATACGTAATTGATTCAATAAGAAACGGCCGTATTTTATTAGTAACATCTTCAAGATCTTCACTATTCAGTTTATCATAAGATGACAAAGGTTGATCAGCACATCGAACTAAATCATCATACTTTTCTGTTAATGTCAATGGTGCCATTTATCAGACAATGAACAAAAAAAATAATTCACAGCGATAATTAAGCGCTTGTTTTTTTTATTTTAACAAAATAATAAGCACAATAAAAAATGCAAAAAAACACCCTGATTTAAAAAAAATAACAAATATAATGAATTAATGTTGTGAGATTTCACGTACTAATAAATGAGAAAAGAGGCGTTGAAAATAAGCCACACCATCAGGCACCATTTTATCATCAGGTCGATAAGTACCAGAATTATTATTCATAAGCAATGTTTCACCTGTAAATCATACATTCGACGAACGTTTAGCAAGAACTACATGTTTACTTAATAATCGATAAGGATATTTAAGTGTCCTATGTAGAATTTTACCAAATACTAAACTACCGTTACCAAGTAAAACAAAATTATATTTTTGATTTATTGGTAATTCATCAATCAATCGTATTTTATTAATAGATTGAGTAATAGAATGAGCTTGTACTTGAGATCTTCGTACCATCCAGAATAGGTAAATAATCATCAATATCAATAGATGATTGTGATATTTCCCAAATAGGACTTTTACCCCATATTAGTTTAAGTAAACAACCGAATAAAATAGTCGATGGATAAACAGATATTGTTATAGGAAGATCAACTAATTATAAAATTAAATAATATATTTTTCTTGATTATTTATAGTTATTCTAACCTTTCGAGATGTTGTAATGTTTTCGGCGACGAAGTGGAATCGATGGTTTTTGACACCAATCAGTATAATAAACAGGTATAGGCTGTATATTAATCAAGCATCGTATTGACTTACTCGATCTGGGTCTGGTACTGCAAAATCATCTCCTGCTTGTAACTGATCTCTTATACTCGATTTCGAGTCAAAGAGATCGCAAAAACAATATTTCGACACGAATAAAGTTTTAATAATTGAATATAGATTTTGTACTTGGTAATCACGCGATTAAACAATTATTAAAAACTAATATTTCTGTTACATTTGAAATACTAAAGACAATAAAACTATCGGAATAAGCGTCATAATATAAATAATACTTATATTCTTCCATATGGTTACCGAGTAGCACATTCTTCAGATATATGTTAAAATGACGAATCTGACTAACTGATCATGTTCTATATAAATATTAAAATTCATTATTATATATTTATATTTCAAAGATTGCTTTCATTAATAGCATGTTTAACGTCTTAACTATTCTGTTACT